GCCTTTCTTCTTTGAAATATGAAAATGCCAATTAATCACGCGAATTAATTCATAGACCGTCAATTTAAATTTATTACATAATGTATGTCTGATCGATTGAAATTGATATTTCACTTTCAGTGTGGTTTTTTTTTCGTTTGGCATCATGTAAATGTGCACAAATTAATTAATAAATTATTCATTGTCACAGAAATTTACACGCAAATTTCTCCTCTCTCATTAGCATCCAATTTTATTTTATTTATTTTCATATGTTGTTCATTTTTCCCGCGCGTGAGATCAAAAGGAAATTCTTCTCTTGGAAATTCTAAATTTAACACATTTTTTTTCTCCTAACTAAATATTCCGTTGCAAAAGTGCTGAAATACATTCACCTCTGGGGGAAAAAAGGGAAAAGGAAAGAAAACTAAGCTGAGTTGAGGGAGGAAAACGAGGAAGGCAATAAAATTAGAATTTCAAACAAATTGCAATAATCTCCGAGAACATAGAAGAAGACGTAAGAACCACTATGACCTCAATAAATCTAATAAAAAAAAAAGAAACATTTTCCACATCTCCGATCTGGAGGGAGAATGTGGAAATTTTCCGCACACACACACACACACGTGAAGGAAAATCTCAAACACATGTCACAATGGGAGCCACCTCTAAATGGAATCAGGAGATCTGATAAAATCGAAAGGTTAAGTCAATCTGCACATTCTCCCCATGCGACACAATATTTAGATGTGAATTTTCGTGTGGCAGAAAGGATCCCCACCTTTTTGGTCTATTGTCACACAATCCCATTTTTGCCTTCAACGCTCCTGGAGGATTTTTCCCTTCCACCCTCGCACTCACACCTTCAGCCAGGATATCACATTCCTTAGGCCTCCGATGTGGCAGGAAAGTTGATGGAGGTCAATTCGCTTTGCTATGACATGTGAAAAATATTTTTTTTCCTCTCCCTCAGCTCACAACACACCAGGAAAGGAAATATTCCGCCTGAAGAAAGCTCACAAAAAGGCGTCCAAAACTGTAAGATTTTTCGACGCTGTCAGCAGCGCAAAATATACCGGAAAAAATATCATATCTTCTATTATCCTTTTCGGCACTGCCTCAAGTATTTTGCCTATTGATTTCAATTCATTTAATATCATGCTCAAACACAGTCATAGGTCTACCAATTAGCGGCATTGTAATCCAATTTCGTGCTATAGATGTACATTTGATGGTTTAATCACGAGAATTGAACCAGGCGTCTCCATCGGAGCGGAAATTACACTCGTTCGAATAAACATTTTCACATTCAGAACATCAATAAATGGTTCATTTTCAACACAAACCACCTTCCATTGCCTTCTGCTATATGCTCGTGTATCGCTCACAGCCATTATATTGCTCTTTGCATACAACACTCTGAGTTGACGAAGACCTCCCCGATGTGGGTGGATTTATAGGTATAAACAGATCGTGGGGAAGAGGAATAAGGGCTTTTTAGGATGGGGCAAAGCATACTCTCTGTGGGCATAACACGGTATTTATAAAACGTATTGTCCGAAAATATTCACAGTTCGTTGAATTTCCTATGAACTGTAATGGTCTCATTGAGATCACAGAATCTCACTTGCTGCTTCTGCTCTTTCACACGAGAACATCATGCCAGATTTTCCATGAAACCCATCCAATTTGCATGCGGAATCTCCAATGGGGCGACCACAGAGTTATTTTTCGCCATTTGAGAAATTTTTCAATAATAAAATCCTCCAAAGAGCGCCGAAGATTGGTTTTGTGTGGGATATTTATTAAATCCAGAAGATGCGCGGGCTTTTTCAATAATAATAATAATAATAATAATTATCTAAAGGGAGTCTGAAGAGGTAGCAGAAGAAGATTTCTGCATTGACAGTCTCAAAAGGGTTTTTTTTTCCCCTTCTAGAAAATTCAACGCGGTCAATGCTCTCAAGGATAATCCGGTAAATTAAGAAATCTTGTTCCACGACCTTTCATCACGCGAGAAAACTTTCCTAAATTGTCCAGATTGAGAAATTTTGAGCAATTACTCCGTCATCGTTGGATTCATTGAGCTTTTTCCCAGCCATACAACTACCCAGAGTGAAAAAGTTTTTCCTTCACTCCGTGTGCCTTTTTGTCTCACTCACTATTTGACAATATAATGTTCTCCGAAAGTTGAGCAAAAGAGAGAAAAGAACAAAATTTCCTCTCGGCGAATTTACATAATTCGCCAATTCATGTTCAAGAAATTCAAGTCAGCGAAAAACGTGGCTCTTCAATATTCTCGAGCAATGCAGAAAAAGATGTGAAATGGAACGACGACAACGAAGAAAAATGTGCACAAACAGTGGGAAGCTTTCATCGAGCTCCTAATATGTTTCTTTATCCCTGCATTTCATCGTCCTTAAGACCCACATTACAACTTTTCCTTTCTTGGCTTAAAATTCTCCCTGGCAAAACATCCAATTGATGTATAAGATATTTTGCTATATTTGCCCATTAGCTTCCAGATTTTCATATGCCAATTCACATGGTCAAGTTGTATACTTGTGTGGCAACAGAAGGTACACCCAAATAGCATCAACCCCCAGCGAATGTAGTGAGAATGAAAGTTTAATTGAAGCAATTTGCAATGTGATTAATCAATAGAAGTTATACCCCCAGTTTAATGACTTGCCCACTTCCCGGAAATGCCTCTTCGATAGATATTCAATCCCATTCAACTGAACATCCGTCGATGGCTCTGTTTGTGTTCTTTCCCCATCATTTGATCTCCACTGTATCTCATTCAGCTGACTTGAAAGCTCTTCGCCCAGAAGTGAGCCAACGAGTGGAGATAAATTACTCTTTCAGCGATTAAGCACTACAGTATCACAGTCTCAAATCTCATGATTTCGTAATTAATTCATTTTATTCCTTTTTGCCATATCTTCCAGGATGAAAATACGGAAACTTTGCCTATGAATTGTCTGTGAAATATCGAGATTTAAATTCGACGATGATTTAAGACGTTCTAGACCTAATTTGAGGTCACAGAACTTTATCATACAGAGAATCTGGAGATATTTTTCCTCTATTTTTTTGCACTTACGAATAAGCAGAAAGTTGTGGTGAATTTTCGATTGAGCGAAAAATCAATATGAATGTAATATTGAAATTGTACATGATGTATCTCCCTGCCATGATATTTCTATTTTTCCATTCGGTGATATATTTTAGATTGCTCGCCGTTCTCCCGCAATGAAAATAAGAAATGTTATATGCGATAGAAGGAGAAAATAAATTCGTATGTGTGTCATCTCTAAATATTCACCCTTTATAACATGATTCAATTTTATCGTATTACACACATATGAAGCGTTTATGGGTGCAATTTTGATGGGTGGCAGGAGATGTTTCGGTGGGATGGATATCTCTCGAGAGGATGAGTCAATAAATTCTATGATACCGAGAACCTAAAACACTTGAGGAGCTTTACTCCTCTCTATCTGCCACCATTTTCACTGTGCACACAATTTCTCACACAGCTTCGCAGCGACGAAAGCTCAGAGATGACATTCGCAACCGTGCGGGGGTGGCGAGATATGATAGAAGGGGTGCACAGAAAGCTCCACGTGAGGTGAACGAGGGAGAGAGGGTGAGAGAACGGGGTTTGAGTGTCAGAATTATAAAAAGCTCAATAAAGTATTGTGCAGGACTTGTGAGTATGGCGAGGGTGGAAACTATAAAAAGTCTCCATTTCTCCTCATGGAACAATTTATCCTTTCCTCGCTGTATTTGTTATGGTTTCCCAGCCCACACCCAGACGACGACAATACTTGGCAGTGCGGGAGAAGCTCTGGCACGTTGCGAAAAAGCTCACCTCCAGACCAACATGAACTCCGCTTCGTGTTCACTCTGCACTTCCACGTTAGTTTGATGCTCTGAAAAAGCTTCCGTAATGGTTGCATTACAGCCATTTTGTCACTACATATACAAATATAAGTTGAAGGTGACCGGATGTTATGTGAATGCGAGTTGATTCAATCGCTGGGCGTTCTGGAGAGACACAAAAAACACACACTTCCCGGTGAATACTCCTGGGTCAAACAGACATTAAGCGAAAGCCAGCCAAACTGGGTAGGAAAATGGATCTGGGACAGGGGAGAAAGAATCACAGAAGAAATCTGTGGAAAATGCACCGCACAGTATTCATTTGAATTTCTCAAAACATCATTGCATTTCAATAAGTTTTTTTCCATGGAATCTCAAGCGAAAAACTTTTGAATGGTTGTTAGAGATTAGTTTTCATCGTGTTTCCTCGGCACATGTGGATTACGGGAAAAACACCATAAATATTTCCCAATTCCAACTTTCCAGTTCAAGAGTCTCTGCATGTCAATCCCGGAAGGTGTATTGTATTGACGTGTGTCGAATACGTTCACTTAAAAACATTTCCTTTTCATTTCTCAAAGAAACTTCTAAAGAAGTGGAATATTTATAGAAGTGTGAGAGAGATTTTTAAACTATTTGTACTCCTTAATTCAAATTTTATTTTGTGTAATTTACAGTAGTGAAAATTACATTAAGACACCTTAGCTTTTGTTGCTAAAAATTCGACATTTCTTTCAATTTTCACGACATTTACCTTAAGAGAAGAAATGATCAGAATTTTATGCTCTTCCAAATGTCGTTGAGATTATGGCGGTATCTCAATTGGGAGCTGAGATATTGCAAAATTCAGAGAAATGTGTGCAAAAGGACAGCGAAAATTTAGTTAGGACATTTATGTATATTTTTCCTAACTGCTCTAATTATATAGAAATCGTCACACTGTCCATATCTGCAGTGCTGAAGCGCCTGATTGTCAGTCTCTCATGGTCCTATCGAAGATTATCCTGGACGATTTTAAAGAGAGCGAAGCTCATAAAAATATCCCGAACGGAATTGTGTCTGTTCAAACGCGAACATCCAGCTTCCTCCACAGATGTTGAACTTTAACCACTGTTTTTTCTTGCCTTTTCCAGTTCCACCACATCAGATTCTCGTGTACGATGCTTCCGGACGTGATGTGGCTGGCGCTGTGGGTCCACTGCTCGAGGGCGACAATCTCATTCTCACATGCGAAGTGCGAGGCGGTGAGTATCTCCCATGAGTCTCAATGTTTGGCTCCCGAAGCGGTGGAAAACACTGCGTTTTTTCCCGCCATTTCGTCTCCAGTGGAGCCAAGCTTATCACTTTTGGCGGAGTGTCGGTGAAATTAATTTTAATGCTGAAAAGCCTTGTGCGTCGAATTTGCATCATAGAAATCTGGAGGTGCTTTGTGGAATATGCGGGTGAATCGTGTAGGAAAATGAGGGCAAAGTCATTAGTTGGATTTGCTTTTGCATTTAAGTAAGTTGAGGAGTGGCTCTGCACTGGAGGACGCACCAAAAGTGAATTTATGTACAAGTTCTTGGCTCGTTTTGCAATTTTAAAACTTTTAATCAGATTTTGCAAGTTTTCATATTTACAAAATATCAACTTTAAACAGTTTAATGCTGTTTCTCCTCTTCTATATTAATATCCGTTAACCATCAACACAACTCAACTCATTTTCCCAAGTTCCCGCAGAGCTTTTCAGCACAAGGAGTCAAATTCCCGCACCATCAGCCCCAAAACTATCTCCTTCCTCCCCATATGCGTTTCCATTTGTCGCCCAACCATCTCATTACCATTGGAGGATCAAGTGTGGGGAGTGGTAAATCCATGAAAACTTTGCGGCTTGAATTGGATTTTGATGAAATACCCCGAGAAAGGGCGCCAAAGTACTTTCCCTACAAATATACTCCGTGCGCCTTTCCGGGTGAGGAGCCAGAAAAAGCTCACAGGCTTCATTCACTGGGGTAGATTAAGTCCTACAGCAGGGCAGGGAAAATTATCTAATCATTAACTCCTTTTAGTGGATGTCGTTTTTTTACGACCCTCTCCCAAAATGACAATCATTTTTTGGGCTATTAAGATGGAACACATCCAAAGTTTCAGTCCTAAAGCTCACGAGACTTTTTCCATGAGAAACTTTGGGCATTTACTCATATTTCATGCTTTTACTTTGTCTTTAAGTGCCACTGGGAGAAGGCCAGATAAGCCAAAGGTGTCTTGTAGCATTCACGATTCTCTTGTACACCATCAACATCCAGTTTATATTACTCAACAATTTTGCATTGAGAAGCTTTCCACAGGCAAAATACATATTGAATTTCGAATGATAATAACAAGTCCTATTTTTATAAACAAAAATTCTTTATTCGTGGCAATTTTTCCTTCGCTCACAATAGCTATAAAATCTACTAACAATGTGTCGTGTGGAAAGGACGAACAATTTTAGACCATGAAGATGCGTAGAAAGTTTTTCGTGATTAAAATTTTCCCAGGGATAAAATTAAATTCCTTCAAGACTTTTCTCAACCGACGCTTTTTTGACTCTCTTTCACCGTCATTTGGCTTTCAACCGCGTTTTCTGGGAGAAAGTTTCAAAAGCACCAAGATAGAAAATGGTATGCTTTTAGTTCGAAATTTGATTCCATTTCTTTCATTCAAAACTCCGGACTGAGCCAGTGATGAGTGGAATGTTGAAAGTTTTTCTTAGAAAATGGGATGTAAGTGAGAAAACTAGAGCAAGAAAGCAAATTAACAATTTTAATAATAGCCTCGGGTGAAAGGAGAAATATTCTAATATTTTATTGTCAATGTTTTTGTCTCTATTCTAAGAAAACTACAATTGTTCTGAGCATACGTCTTTTTGGTTCACGCGTTGCCCCTCAAGCCAGGAAGTAGTGCTGAAATGGTGATAGAATATTGAGATTTCTCTCGAGAAACACTCCAAGAGGTATTTATTTACCGATGGATCCTCGGTTTTCCAGCACTTGTGGAGCCAATAGGCCTTTTCGCATAAATCGTCACCAACTGGTTCCAAGCATTTGTCAATAACTGCCCTCGCTCGATCCTTCAGCTCCGCCGGAAGGCGATTGTAGAGCTTCTCGAAGTGCACATGGCCAGTGTCATCGACCACTTCAAACTCGTGGAAGAGGCAATTCATGTAGCACTTGAGAGCAGGATCCTCGATGGCTTCCCCATCGCTGAACTCCTTGATGTGCTCTTTTCGTCATTTGCAAAATCAATAAAACGAAGAAGAAACATTCAAAACTACACAATTCGGCAAAGTGTAAAAGGGTTTTATGTCATCGGATATAAAATTATTTCGCCAACAGAACCATAACTTGGTTAAGAATAAGTATTTTATGGCGTAAAAAGAGACTGAAGAATTATTGTAAATTAACCAAAGTAGTAAACACACGGAGAATAAGTTGCATTTTTATGTTGAAAAGGAACGATCAAAAAGTGCTAATATCTCTTCACGGTGTTATTTACGCTGTTACTCGAAGTTTTTGCTGTGAGAAAAGTTTTAAGTCAGCCAAATACCTTCCTTTACACCTGTTTTAGGCGCACATACATCATGTGCGATTTTGATGACTCTCAGCACTGCCGGCGGAGGATACTGTAAGAGACAGAAAGCAAACGTGGTTCTTTCACAGTTGCACAATCTTGAGAAAGTATGGAAGAAAATGATTGAACCATATATATTAAAAATTCACACGTTCTCTTCTTGTGATTTCCTCTGGGATATTTTCCCGCCACTTTAAGCCACGCGATGTGCGCGGTTGTTTGCGGAAAATGCTCTCGATAATTGTTTAGTTTTAATTAACTTGCCTGGCAAATGCACTTCAACTCACCGATTCATCTCGGCGCAATTCAACACTCAATGCACTACAAACTAGAGCACTTAAGAGTATCACAAGCTTCATCATCTTGAGAATATTGATTGTTCACTTTGCATCTTCCACTGTTCAAATTTGCGATCATCATCTCCAGGATCGCCTTTTTATACACTTTTCTGTTTGAAGAGTTGCGTGAAAAGAGACCTTCACAGCGGAAGTGTGGTTTAATGGTTGAGGAAATATATGACTTTAATTGCACACGGAATTAGCAATCATCGCGGTTTTTTCTTTTAATTACTAACTAAATAGTAAGCAAAATGAAATTCTCCGTGTCACTGTTCGTCGTCAGTTTCTATCCATATTCTGTTGTTCTTTCTTAGCACAGCATAAATGCTAATTAATCACGCTCTAATTACTGCAATTGAATTTCTAACGTAAAAGTGTAAGTTTTTACCTGTTTTCTACTCATGTAAAAGTGAATTTTTTGTCCACTAATCATTTAATGATTAATTTAATATCGTGGATGGAGAGAAAGTAATTTTTCTTACAACATGACAGTGCAAATTGCGTTGGAGAAAAGCTCGAACCCTTTATCATTGGGTGTAAGTAGGGAAAATTTGCCGGTAATTTTCACTCATTCCACGCAAAATTCAATCAATTAATCACGCTTTCTCGTCTGTTGAAAATAAATCGACAGGGAAAAGTGTGGAGATGGACATAAATCAATATTCATCTTCTATTGATGCTGATTTATTCTACCCTTTTTTCATGAAGTTAGTCACGAGAATTTTGACTTGTCTTCCTCTGCTTGACAGTTTGCGTTAGTGACAAAACTAATGTGCTCTCATCCAAAGTGATTCGCCTCATTCCAACGTCGTTGAGACTTGTCTTGAGAGCATGTTTGTCCTCGACATCTGGGCTATTTTATATTAAGAAATAATGCTGAAAAAGGGGATGAAAAGATGGAGGAAAAAGAAAAGAAGTCTCATTAATTTACCATTTCGCACAAATAAAGCGTTAAGAGGAATTTGGACAAACAGAAAAACTCACTTTTGGATCAGAGGTTTTCCAGCACTGAAAAGGAGAGGAGAAAATTTTTAATTACACTCCTAATTAATTTGAGTCCGGATTGTTTTCTTTTTCACCTTGTGCAGCCAGAAGGCTTTCTCGCAGAGGTTGTCGCCTTCGGGATAGAGGCACTTCTTGCCCATGTGGAGGGCAATATCGTGCATTGAGGCCGGTAGTTTATCGTGCAATTTCTCCAAGTGGACTTCGCCGGCGTCATTCACAACCTCAGCCTCGTGGAAGACGCAATTCATGTAGCACTTCAGCTTCTCGTCCTCGTGGATTTCCCCGTCGCTAAACTCTTTGATGGCCTCTGGCGGAAGAGACAGGAAGTTAATGGATAAGATCAAAAAACTAGACGGAAAGTAGGCTTATTTCCTCAACCGGAAGAAAAACACCACAAACAGAGTAGTTTATCCATGATTACTTTAACCACTTATTTGCCTTCTTGGGCGAAAGAGAGCAATTTTCTCAATTTCCTAATCAAGACGGGAACTTTTTTCAAATAACTCTGCCTGTCATAATGCTTTATTTCTGCATTTTTTTTTCCTTCATATCGATTTTCACCTACAAATGAGATAAAATTGAATTCTCAGAAATGGGAAATGCAATTTTCATTGCGCGTCTCTTTTGTACTTTTCATGTCAATAAAAATTTCCTGGGAAAACCATTAACAAGCTCTACTTCTGAGGTACAAAATGTTCACTTAATCTTCAGCAACATTGATTTAAAGCACACAATTTCATGACTTCACCAGTGCTTTTTCCACGCTTCATCCCCGCGCACAAGATCATAAAACTTTATGAGGCTTATCAGACTGCGTTTATTTTTCACTTATGAAATCTAAAACTCCTCCCGCCCGCCCCCCAAAAAAAACACGCGAAATTATTGTGAGAAAATAAAAAAAAAGCAACACAGACATTTTCGATGCACAGAAGATATGCGAAGTGATTCAGAATTATCTAATTTCGCATTTTATGCCAAAGTGGTTTTGGGGAGTTACAATCGTGAAATTTAAATTGCTGTTTACCGTCAGTGACGCCTGTTTTCTCCACGCAAATGTCATGAATTGGTCTCAGTGCCCTCAGCAGTTCCGGCGGCGGATACTGGCGAAGTATAAGAAAAGAAAAATTGTCATCAAAAGGGCGAAAGAGGAATAAAACTGGGGGCAATAAAACTTACATGTTCATCGCGTCGTGGAACAACTTTTTGCGACATTGCACTGTGGAATGCAACTTGAAGAGCGATTGCAGTGATTAGGAAGAGCTTCATTGTGATCGATTGGATAAGGGAGAGAAAAAAAAGGGGCAAAAAGGAAAGGCGCGGAGGCAATAAAACTCCCCCGGAATGATTAATGTGGATTCCCAGAACAGTAATGAAACTTTGAGCTCGTAAAAGGTGTCATGTGTGTTATTTATATTGCTCGTGAAAATTGCCTGAGCGTTTTTTATGGACATCCATGCAACTCTTAAGTCAATTAATCAATTTGTACAATTAATTTTCTTGTCGCCCTCACCCTAATTATCTCATCAAATTCATATCAAATGCGTGCGAAATCATCTCTATTCTCCAACATTTTCCAGAGAAAAAAAATATTGCCACAATGCATGTGAAATTCCTACAATAATCAATTCATTAATGCAACTGACAAAATTCAGTGACTCTATTCTATTGAATCACCCACAGTCAATTACTACCTTCGCAATCATGGAGAGTGTAAAAATATTCCCAGTCATGAAAAATAATAAAAGTGTAAGCTGTAAATTATAGCATATGTCATTGTGATTAAAATACCATCGAGAGTATCGTCAATCATGCAGTAATTCGTGTGCTTTATTTGTACAAAGCAAATATGACGAGTGTGAATAGATTGTGAAGACGACGAAGCAATGCATTTAAGCACTTCCTTCCCCCCCACTTGTCTTGAGGAAAATCATTCAGCCTAATTACGGAGTTTTCCCTTTGAGCAGCTCGCGACCTCCCAAAGAATGGCTTTTCCCCATAGCAATTACCGAATGATGTCTGTTCTTTGCCCTCGATGACTTCGTGGTGAGATATTTTTATCCAATATAGAATGGAGTCTGGTGGAAAGTCAGCGTGCGATAGTTTTCATATGGCGTGAAGGAAATTGTTTGAATAAATTACCCCTTTTTTGGTCGACGCCGCTGTCTCTCCTACCAAAGAGGTGGGTTTTGAGGAGTTTTTGGGGGGTGAGTTCGAAACGACGAGGAAGTTCGGGAAAATGGAGAAATGGGCGATGGAAAATGATGAGAAGGAGAAAACTCAAAAGGGGGTTATCTTACGTGTTTCTTTTCATGATAGCACGGTGGAGAAAAAGAAACGATTTACTCCTCTTCAGTTTTCAACTTCACGAGCCCACTTCGAAAGGGGTGGAAAATTATCCTTCTCCGCAACGATGGCCCACAAAATTGGTTGAATTTCTCCACTATCTCACCCAGATGTTTCAAGGAAAAAAAAACCCGTGACTTTGTATGCAATCAAAATATGTCTAATGTAATTATTATTTCCACTCATTAAAGTCTAACACTCTCTAGCAAATTTATTCGCCCTCTGGTTGCCCACTTTTCCCTCGTTTTTCATCTTCCACATTTTGTTTCGCTTTTCCTCTGTTGCAGCATTAAATGAATTCTCCGGGTTCGGAGCAAAACACTCATGAGGAGAGTCCTTTGGCAACTGTGGGGCGTTTGAGGATGGAATAACAACGTGAATAGAGAAATACATGGTGAGAAGCTGGTGGGAGAAAAAAACTAAATTAGATTTTCAATTATACGACTTCATTTTTAATTAAGTCATGCCCCAACTGGGGAGACGCGGTGTAAAATTTTTAGGGTTTGCAGAGTCTAAATGACTAAGTGTACAATCCCAGGATCTGGAGAAGGTGTTTTTGCTGTGGCGCGAAAAGAAGTGGAGGCAAAATAAAATGAAATGAAATAGAAAAGTTGGTGGATTGAGTTAATTAGAATATGATTGGACTCGTGCTCAGCAAGTCTTGGGGCTTTTACTGTCATCCACACTGATGCTCTCCATCCTCCCCCCCGCCTTGGCGCAATTTTTATGGAGATAGCGCTTCTGGGAGAGAGACCTTCCCTCATCCGGACATGGGGCGAATGGTGAAAATAATATATTTGAGGCCTCTTCTCGCACACCTCACCGCACTTCTTCAACCAGGACGAGAGAGAGAGCAAAGAAATGATGGTCGTGGAGGTTGTAATAATAATTCTTATAGGTAACAAAATGGTTATTGCTGTTTCTTATCGCGAGCGTGTGTAATGTATAGGACTGTGGGTCATAAATTTCACTGCAAAATAACAAATCTCGCAACTTCTTTTCATGCTGGGCTGTGGCTTTCCGCATCCATCGCACCGAAAACGGTATGAAAGTACACCTCAAGTTCCTCTCTCTTTCGGCATTGCCCCGGTAATTCACTTGATGTAACATTTTCCAACCGAATTATAATCGTAAAATCTCAAAACAGAGTCCGCTCAGACTTCCCTCGGGAGAGTCATGTTTCTCCCCCAAACACAGGGGCTCGTTAATACAATCAAGATAATAGATGGAGTGTAAAATGAATTGCAAGGTATGGAAACCTCATTATAATGGCCTCTCTCACTCAAACCCCTTTTCCATTCCACGGTTAAAGCTCCTCCAGCAATCCAATCATGCGCCTCAGTGGCAAAAAATAACTTTCAATGCGGAGAAAAGGAGAGTTTTCCTTTTGCCAAACAAATTTTCCCAATATCGCAAGAGCCAACGAAAATTTATTATTGCTGACGCAATTTGTGCCTTATTGAATTATAGTCCTGCCAAAGATCATGAGGATGAGAGCGATTATGGGCATCGCTGAATGAGGAATTAGGACAAAGCCGCATGATACAACTTAAACATAACCACCGAAAAACTTTTCCTCATCGTTGACAAATTTGGATTCACACACACACTTTTGTCCGAATATTGGCGCTGGCATTTGTGGTGAAAGACGCCGGGTGAATAGGAAAATTCGAGGAGCACAAAAAGCTCCTCAATAGATAGTTGATTGGTATTCAAATGGCGTTTCTTGCGGCACTTGGCAAAATGGACGCAACAGCGAAGATGGTGAGCGTGGGGAAAAACAAAAAGTCATATAAATCAATGTTTTGACATCAATATTGATGATGCTGTGAAAATACACACACACAGAGAATCTGTACGCCAGAGTGTGAATTTCATCCCACGAGATATATTCACCGGAAGTGCGTCAATATTGCATAATGCGAGATACTCACTATGCAATTAATTAAAATTTCTGGAAACCCCGTAACGGAAATATTTATATTTGATTATTTATATTTATTGACTTTTATCTGCGGAAACCAATAAAACTCACATTTCATCATCGTGGAAAATGTTATTCAATTATCACATTTTGCATATGCTTTGCTCCACTTTTAATACATATTTGCACATTTGCCGCATGCATGCTTTCTTCATATCCGCTTCAATGTTTTTATTCGTCGTTTTTTTCCCATTTGCCACATGCTTAAAACAATGGCAGAAATACAAAAAAAACATTGCGAGAAACCGAGAAATCACATTTTTCTATGTTATTCTTTAAAATTTTGCAAACTCCAAACTTCAGTCAAATAATTTGTATTCATAGATTTTTCTGCACACAAACATTGCGATACACAAACAGTACGTGATTTTTCTGAAAATACTATTCAATATCAAAAATATATTGCCTTTAGCTGTACTTGATTTTCATTTCAGAAAAATTTAAAAACTGAAATTGCTTAAACAAATGTCTGAAATATGAATTCGGCTTCGTTTATTTAATTAATTTTATTAATCAATTATTATTATACTTGATATTTCATTTGGGAATGCTTTCTTCGGATCCGCATTAATATTTCAAATTTATTTACACGGTTGGTTCCATTCAAATTGCAAAGATATATAAATACTTCACCTGAAATTCAAATATTTGATTTTATATACCTTTCGACGGATGAATCGAAAACTGTGAAAAAACGCTTCTTTAATATACCCTAATTTTAGATTTCCCAGATTTTCCTAAAATATTCGTTAATAAAACACTTTAAATAGGAAAATATATCGTTTTTTAAATATAATTAATATAATGTTTAAAAACAGTATTAAAAATTGATTTTTCCGCCAAATCTATTTAAATTCGACTTTTGGACAATAATATTTTTTGTTTATTCATTAACTTTGCCATGTTTCAGTCAAAATTCTAATAAATAATAATAAAATCATCAGAAACAATCACAAAATAATTATTATTAGAGCAAAAATTATCATTTTATTAAATCATTGGCGAGTTGTTTGAGCTAAAATTCGGCGAATTTAGCAGCAAAATAATGCAAAATTTTTTAAATCGTTCTCCAAAAAATTGTAATTTTGACGTCTGATTCTTTTCCATTCACCCATCGATATCACAGTGAGAAAATATAATTTTCCAACGATGACAGAAGCAGAGCCTTCAATATTTAACCTTGTGTATCTCTGCTTTTTAAAAATACCCCCAAATGACCCACATTTTTCACGCCCAACATTGTCGTTCGAAGGGGTGGAGATGATATTTTATCATTTGCCAATGGCATGTGTCTTGTGGTCACAATAAAAAAATAAGCATGTGGTTATAGTTTTTCAAAGCCAACGGCGTCCATGTGATGGGGAGAGAATCTTCACTTATCTCTGGGTGTGGCGGGGAGAGGGTGAATTTTGCGATGTGCCAAATTTATGGGAATAAAATGAAATAAAATATGTTGAAGAGTGTGAATGGTCGATGGCGGGGAGTTTTCTTGGTTTTTTTCCTCGATGGCCAGCACCCTCGGCAAACATTCAACACTCATACGTTTTGAGGGTGGCTGTGCGTTCGCCAGCGATGGGGTTGAAGATTTAATGCTACAGGGTGATAAATCACTATAGAAAGTGTTCAGAATGTGAGGCATCTTTTCTCATTCCGCTCGTCTGCCCTTCCTGCGGCAGCTCCCAGGATATTTAGTGGCTTTAAGTAGATGACATCGCATGGCAAAAGGGGTGCTTCTTCTTCACTATTTGCCCATTTGTCGACGTGTCGACCACCCCTCGCTGCCACGGCGATAGTTGGGTGGCTCTATGGATTTTTCCTCATTTTCCACACCCGACCTATGACCCCTCGTGAGCCATCTACATAAAATATACATAAATGGCGCAAAAATAGAGGATAACGCCCGGAAAAAACGATGACGTTATTGTTCCCAGAGGAGGCATCTTGTGGCATTTCTTCTCCTCGAGAGCTCCATCGACCCATTTCGATGTCTCCCTTCCATCAGTTCTTTGATTTATTATCCGGCGATTGTCAAACAGTTCCTTAACGCTTGTTATTTATGAAATTCACACTGACTGCTTTTCCTGCGTTGTCTCTCCACTGCGAATCCGCATCCAATTCCCAAGCACACTCTTCCTCTCTTCCAACTTCTAGGCCGCAAAAAACATTTCATAAAATGCAATAAAATATAGAATGCCGAAGGAGAGAAGTTGGGGGGATGGAAAAAAAAGCGAACGTGTGGGTGAAATTTTACAATATTTTATCTGAGTTTGTGCTTTTTGCTGTGTGAAATTCCGTGCAAAAACTCTCAGGCTCAACATTATTGATGATTATTTTCCCGTCATTTCTTGTCTCTCCGCAAAATCAACTTTAAGGTAATTTTCTTCACGTGCTTCACATAAACTCAATTTATTTCCCACCCCGGGGCCAACTAGTCCCAGGGCTCTGGGGACCACAAAAGAGAAGAATTTGCGCAAATCAAGCTAAGGGGTTAAGAACTGTGAGACAAATTAATCCCATTTCTAATGCTGGAGAAGTTGTGTCTTTAATTCTATACCCCAGAAATGCGGATATGACTTTTGATATTTTTCATACACACTCACACACGCTGGGGGGATGTTTCGCAACTGTACATATAAAACACAACCCCTCGGCAAAGTTAATGCCTTTGCTTAATGCTTAAACTGTGTGGGAACTCGATATCATGGGAGCTGTCGGATAAATAGTGGAAATAATTAAAATTTCACTTAATATTTTCGTGAGATCTTGCCACTAATTTGCCCCTGGAGGTGTTTTACAATGACTCCCACAGTATCATTAGTTGGCGCGATAGCGGAGGGTTGAAGAAGAATAGAGTAATGACGGATACCGGAAGCGAATATCATTTTGAATATAAGCCTCAGGTTTCGGCTTTTATATGTAATTGGGGCTCCTGGCACACATACATTAATGGTTAGAAGGATTTGCCTTTTCGGGATGCAAGAGAGGTGAGGCAGAGGTGGTGAACGTATGCGAAGTTCCGGTCGTTTCAAAAACACACTACTCACACACACACACACTGGGTGAGCGACCTCGTCCGGAACACCATGGTTTCCGGCCTATAAAAGAACATTTTCCTCACATTCAAATCGACAGAGCGAGAGAGAGAATATTATTCAGTTCATGTGAATAAAACGTGTGCGATATTGCCAAGAAGGTTGATGATATGGATTCGGATTTGCCAATGGAGAGATAATATTTCTTCAATTTGTACACCACTTCCAGACACTTCTTTAGCCTCTGTGCAGAATCTTCAGACACTTCTGAACACCTTTGAAGGCATTCAGAAAACATTGGAAGAGGTTTAAGCTCTTCAAATTCTTAGATTTTGGATTTCATGAACTTATTTCAATGTCTCACAATTTGTTCAGAAGCAATTTCTGTCTTGATTTCCTGGTTTTATCTTCCGAAAATGCCTAAAAACATTCTGACAAAATTGTGAGGTTATGAAAATCAACTTTAAAATCTTCTTGGATTAATTAAAATCCTTTCAAACTCAGAAATGAGTAATTTTAGAGAATATCACAATATTTCTACTGGATAATAAAGTACAAAACGCAGAAATAACTGAGGAAAGAAAATTTTTTGAGGTAATGTTTGACTTTAAAGCTGCTTGTTTCTTCTAAAATTCAAACAATTTGAAGTTTTTAGAACACAAATGCTCAATTATGCCAAGAGAAAGAGAATTATTCTGCATTTAAACACAATTTTGAGGGTTTTTTGAACACAGAATCTGTTTTAAATTAATCACATAACCTAGAAAAGCAAGAAAATTGATTTTACAAAGTTACAATTAATTCCTTAAAATTCCCAACAACCTCTGCTAAATTGTACACCACTTCCGACTGTGATATCTGCCCCTTGAGATTTGCACTAAAAGTGTGGGCGACGAAAAAGCTCGGGCAAAATCTCTCCATGTCTTCTTCCCATTGTTGTTAATTGAGTGAAAAGGAGCGGAGGAAGACTGGGAAAATATTTGCCTACCACCAAAAATTCATATTGAACTTCCTCTCTTTCTCTCTCTCTCTCTCTCTGATTGAACTGCTCTGGCGGAGGATACTTTATTGGATTCCCACCTAAGTGAAATCAGCTCTGCTGGTGCTCAGCAATCTGCAATGAAGGGGAGAGAATATCAGCGCAAGAAATTAACAATGGTGAAAGTATCTTAGCAGATGTCACCACAGAGAAAATATCACACAGCTTCTTGATTCTGTCATCCGTGACGACACAAATTAAATTAAGAGGGAGACGCAAAAGGATTCGTCAGGACTTATGGGAGAGAATCTTTATCTAATTTTCTCCTCGAGGCCCTGCGGCGCGGCTCAAGTGAAAATCATTGCTGGAGGAATTTACACCAAGCCAAATTACATTCTGTAGTTCAGTGTCACATCAAATTACAACAAACAATATTTTAATAGGCAAAAAATCCCCGCGAATACCCTTGCCATGTACATATATTGTCTCCATTCGACGAAAGGGTGCGAAACAGACGCTCGAATGGTGAAATAAAATGCATAGTCTCCTAGGAAGGATTGGTAATTGCATAGACTTAATTCCAATCTACTTGAAAAGTAGACAAAAAGAGGGGGGGTTTAAAGCTCTCACGCCTTTAGCCCAAGAGTTTCGCAGCATCCAATTTCATGTTCTATCTTGAGTTTCAAATGGAATTAAAATTTTCATGCTGGGAGTTTTGGCTGCTGCTCGATGCTGCCGCGAGTGGTGATGATGGGGGTGGGAATCAAGATAATTTCCTCTCGCTTCATCCATACGAAATGCCGAGAATTTGTTACATTTGCTATTTATGCGAAAATACGCTTATGAGATAAGAATTGCTAATACATTCTTTTCAATATCGCTGCATTGTTTATTTTCATTTTGGACCAATTTTAGTGGAGATTCAGAAGCAAGTTTATGGCATGAATGAATCTCATTAAGACAGCATAATTACCAATTTAACAGCCAAGGAATAACAAGAGCGAAATAAGTGTTTTTTTTCTATATTTTTCACTTCATTGAATATTCATGCGTATAAAATAATTTTCTCACGAAATTCAACTACGCAATTTACAATTTTTGATTCAATTCTCATCCTGAAAATTTCCGATACAAAATGTCCAGGAAAATTGTTCTTTACTCGTGCTCAAAAAGCGATAAAACGAATTACTTTAATTACGCGATTCTGCATAAAAAAAAATTTCATTTATCTCCCGTATGTCACACATGAAATTTTGACCATATTTTCCACTCCACTTGCTGCCAAATAAAATCAATTACCGATGCAAACGCAAATGAAATCGAATAATAAAATTGCTTTTCTCCGGACGTGTGTTTTTTTTCCCTGCCCACTCTGAGCCCTGTTATCTCCGTTGGGTGGAGACAAAAAAACCGCGCGCCAGTAAAAAGGGTTGCAAAAATGTTTGTATTTTTTATGTAGTCTCACCACCACTTGGCTTTTTCCGCCGAGTAATAATTTCATGTGTCATTTGCAGGTAAATTCTGTGCATTTCATTTCCTCTCACACACACACACACTTGGCAATGGGCGCCAAAGTGTTATGTCAGCTAATGTCTTTTAAACGATGACAGAGCATATTTAACTTTCGTCTGCAGGTGCATTTGAATCCTCACGATCCTCACGAGGCGCCAAGGGAGCGTCGCATTCCTAATAAAGGTGGGCGCGATGCAATGCCACCCACAATGCTTCCCACACACACACACACACACAAATATCCAATTCGAGAGTTGAGCTCTCAAACTTTTATGCGGGATTTTTTTTTGTGTTCATCCTGGAGTGAAAATGAATTTGCACCATTTGCGTGGGAATTTCCATTACCACCAGAGGGACAATTAAAGAGCTCTCCTGGGCGCCCAATTGTGTGAGACCTCGTGGAATTAATTGAAAAAGCTACAAATGAGGAGATGGAAAATTATATTGTGTAATTATTTATTAAAAAGCCATTCTCGGCATGAAAATCATAAATCTGGAGGGGGAGGGTGAAAATGGCACAGGGTCCACGTCGCGAGTAGGCATATTAAAATTGGCGTGCATTTCGCGCCCCCATCGGAATAATGTTTTTCAAATGAGAGCCACTCCTCTTCCACTTATTTTATGCCACCGGTAATGGTACAAGTTTTAGCGTTTTCGGCATATGGTGAGTTATGGAAAATAAATTTTGCGCTATAATTAACATTTGCGAGCGCTTTGCTCGGCCCTTTTCCGCTGGTGGAAAACTTTATGGTCGCTGGTAACAGGAAGTGGGTGCACAAAATGAATTTCCCGCCTCTGGTCGCGATGCTCACGCACAGTCTCTCACTCACTCTCTCTCTCTCCGTGTCACTACAGGTCGGCCCGAGCCCAGCGTCGCGTGGTACAACGGCGTGATGCCCCTGTCAACCGGCACGGGCATCTCGATGGGGCGCCACGTGACGGTGAACCGCCTGGAGATCAACCATGTGAGCCGAGACGCCCTCAACAATACTTACAAGTGTCAGGCGTCCAACACTAAACTCGTGCCACCCGCCGAACGGAGTGTCCGGTTGGAAATGCTGTGTGAGTATCTGATTTCCACAGATCCGTGACATTGCTGCTATTCAGTTGGTAGTTTTAGAATATATTTGAAATAACCAAGGGGAAGATAATTTCAGATTACATGTTTATAACAAGACTAAAATCAATTAATAACTACAATCTGACCGAAATCTAACTCAAATCTAACTGATAACTTTGATATTCACGTTTTCTTACAATATCTTATGATTTTCTTCAATTAAAATTACACTTTTGCGTATTTTTCTTGATCATTAATGCTTGAGAAAAATTGAGGTTATGTTTCACTTTAGCATTTTTTCTTAAAAATATAATTTTCATTAAGTAAAAAGACGCAATTGTACCAATAAAATGAAAATACTTAAATTTGAGGAGTAATAATTCCTTTTTTAGGGTATTTTTAGTCTCAAATCAATTACAAAACCTAGAAAAATATGTCAAAATTAGAACTTGGATAAAAATTAATTTATGAGAGTAAAATAACCAACAGAAAATCTGAAATTTCCGTATTATCTCCCCCTTGTGTATTAAAATCCTCCAAATAAATAAGAATTTGAGTATATTTTTGCAAAATATAGTGAGTAATATTTTCAAACAAAGCACAGTTAAAGTTTGTATATAAAATACTTACGCGCTCTTGTAAAATATTGAATTTATCAATATGACAATCCAGAGGGGAAACATGCAGGAATAACGTTTATAATACATTTCAACGCAGAATTTCCCTCTGAGCGATTTCATTCAATCGCATTTCCACCAAATTACTGCATGAGCTGTAAAAGTGCGTGTATTTGGTATAATTTTGTGAGCCTGAAGTGATTTCTATTGTCAAAAATGTACTGAATAATTTGGCGTTATTGTATTTTTTCGCCATGGTGAAATGCTTTGGGGTGGAATTTCATGAATCGACAATCACTGGCATGTGAAAATTGAACTTCGAGGAGAATGAGGATAAGTTCATTTGAGCGAATATCTTTTACATGTGCTTTCTGGGGCGTCAACGACAATGGAATTGTAATACGATGGTGGTTTTTCTTTTTGCAGTAAAACCACTAACCGTAAACATATCGGAAAAGCCAAGACAGCTCGTATCGGAGGTGGAGTACAGCTTACGGTGTGATGTCAATGGCTCCATTCCTGACACAGAAGTCAAATGGATGCAGAACAATCGACTCTTTAAGCGTGGGAAGGTGAGTGACACAGTAAAATTTGCGCCATAAAAGATCATGCGTGCTTCTCTGGGTGTGACTTTAATTCGGGCAATATTCCTCTCTGGCAGATAAATCAGATGACAAACTCGAGCGTTGCAACGTCTCAGCTCACCTTTCGCCCAGCTCCAGAGGACGATGGCACAATTCTCAAGTGCGAAGGCTCCAATCCACGCCTCCCAAATTCTGCCCTCGAGGACTCCATGGTGATGAACATAATGTGTAAGTTTATATTCCTTCTTCAACAGCGTTACATCTCAAGGGTGAATAACTCATAAACCTTAGATTAACTTACGAAAAAACAGAAAATATGTAAGAATAACTCTCCCAGTTGGAAAATCATCGAATTTTAATGAACACTTATCAAGAATCTCACCTGAGAAATACTTGGGAAAAATATAATTTAGTTCTTTTTCGCTACTGTGTTGCCCCTTAATCCATCTGGCCAATGTCTGTGCAATTTTTCTTTATTACTCTTATATTTGTCCACAAAAAATTCACCACTACAATAACTCAGAGTGAGTAGGTAGGAATTTCATTTTCCCTGTGTTTACGACAAATAACTTGCCCACTCTCTCTCTCCTTGAGTAGGTGGCAAAAAAAAAGATGAAAAGAAACGGCCACAGAAATGAAAAGACCGAGAATATGGTGAAAAGTGGGAAAAATACAATTTTCTTGACTGATGTTTTGGTATTACTCAAGAGAGAGGTCACACAGTGAAAAGCCAAAAGTCCATTATCTCAGCAAACACCTTAAACAAAATTCCTTAAATGCTTCCACATATTACGCAGAGTTCTCAGTGTGATGTTGAAGAAATTTATATTCATTTTTTTTCTTGCTAGAAATTCACGACAAAGAAAGCAGTAAAATTGCGCCGCGCGCGTGAAGTGCATGTAATTGAAGAGAAAATTCAAAATTTTTCATTTCCCCACCGAAAATGGGTGACAAACAGCGGTGAGAGGAGAGGTAAAATAAGCTTTCTGGGCGAAAATGTTAAGGGACATTGTAAGATTTCCATAGAGAGTCTTTTGTCATTGTGAAAAATCCTTTAACATCAGAGAAAAAAGTAAATTGTGGCGAAAATATTTTGTGGCCTCGGGAATTTTCTATTGCGAAAATTAACTTTGCAATATGCACGAGAGGTTTCATCCTTCCCTCCTCAATTCAGTTAGCAAATCTTCCATGGGGTGCTCAAGGACAGGAGAAGTCAGAAAAGAAGAGTGGCATGGCATAAAATACCGGAGCATTAATTAAGTGAAATTGGATGGAGATAGAGGGAAGATTGGTGGCTGGCAAATTCCCCAAAATTGATCGTTTTCTTTCCCATTCAGATGCACCGCAAGTGAATTTATCCCTGGGATCAACGCTAAATCCTGACGACATTAAGGAAGGAGACGACGTGTACTTTGAATGCCACATAAAAGCCAATCCCAAGGAGCACCGCATAACTTGGTCACACGATGTAAGTACATTTTTCATCGGAGCTCGGGTGGAAGCCATTCACCAGCCATTTACCACGCTAATTGATTGAGAAGCTTCACTCTCTGGCACAGCTTTTCTGCCAAGAGGTGTGCGCCCTCTTTTTCAGGGGTTCTTTTGATGTCGAGAGATGTGACACGTCAGTTTAAGGGGGGGAGGACTGGGAAGGTGGGCGCAATTAAGAATGAAGTGTGGAAGTCATCAGTGCTGCGTTATTTGCAACTGCAGCAAAACTCAATTAATTCAAACTCATTTCCGCTCTTTTGGCCATTTTTCCCCCAAAGTGTCTCACCTTCAACCTCTTCTCAATTTTCCAGGGAAATCCAGTGGTGCAGAACGTAACATGGGGTGTAATAATTTCTACACGTTCACTCGTTCTTCAGCATGTGGCGCGATATCACGCAGGTCAATACACATGTGCTGCAGCCAATGATCGTGGAGAGACGCAAAGTTCACCTGTCACCCTGCGGATCCACTGTAAGTCGAACACACACATTTCATTCTCTCAAAATCGACAAATATATAAATCACAGAAGCTCCCCAGCAAATATGCCGTCAACCCCTTTTCTGCTCTATGCAAATTTTCCACCACACCGCGAAAGCTCCGTGGAAGCGCCTCCGCGAGATAAACTCCCCAACTTTGTTATTATTTATACCGCAGCGTGTTGACGCAATTTGAGATGTATTAACTCACACGAAAGGGGAGAAAAGCGATGGGGGTTGAAACTTAGTGCAGAGCAGCAGCGAGACCACTTACGCGTAATTAACAGTTCAGCTTTGGTGTGAAGTTTTGCCCACCCTTCTTGAGACACAGCTAAGCGATAGCGCGTTCGACTTCCGGAGTGAAAATTCTTAATTTTCCACGCTCCATTTCGTATATACTCTGGCATTTTTCCACCCCGCAATCCTGTGCGCCAGTCGCACATTTCAATTCCCCCTGAATTATTCATGCAACAAACATTGAAAAAGATGAGACCGTGAATGGCGAAGAAATATAAATGAATAATCAGCTTCTTTTGCAATTCTTTCTGCAAAATGCTAATTTTGCAGAATATTTTGTCCACAGAAACCCAACGTTTGATGTTCCCACGATATTTTGTCGTAATTGTTTAATGAATTTAAAATAAAATTTCTCCACGTGTATCAAAATATAACATTTCCACCCACCTTTTGACCTTTTGAATTTAATGTGCAAGAAAGCAAGAATTTCAAGAATAATTGGAATCAAGAAACGTCGCGACATAAAGATTTTAATAAACATGCCTTTGGTCGATTTTTGCTGATTAAATTCCATCATTTCGCTTCAAGTTCTTTGCTAATTGACTCAATAAAAATCCATATTTTCACTCAACCTCAGTTTTATTGAGATCATAAAATATTTAATTTCTTACTATGCGTCTAAGTGCGCATAGTCATTCATCAACGTTTGAATTTAGGGGAAGTCGAGGCCACTAATCTTCTGTTTCTTGTAGTTTCAAAAAGTACTTTTGCAGACGAATGGAATTTTTAATTTCATATTTAATTGTTCAATTTTTGAGCTTTCAATCCAGCCTTTAAGTTAACCTGTGAATCGAAAGCAATGAAAAATCAAAATCATCCTCAAAATTTAACTTAAAACACCTAATCATTCATTAAAATGCTTAAATTGTTCTTTAAGAATTATTTTTTGAATTTTTTCAGTCGATTTAAATGGAATTCTTATAATTTTTTAGTGAAACTTGGCAGAGTTATTAAAAAAACTGAAAATATTATTCTATAAAGTCTTTGAGTTCATTTCATCCAAAATAATTCTAAAAAATTAATTTTTCATATTTTATAATAATTCTTTTCAATTTTTACAAATGAAAAAATTCAAAAATATGACAAAATTTGATGAAAATTCATTCAAATTCTATTTAAATTGTAGAAAAATCCTGAAAATCTAGAATAAACATAATAATAATAATAATAATATTAATAATAACTTCAGCGTCAAATCCAACGATATTGCGGTCAAAAATGCCCTCATCTCCCCTAACATCTTGAATAATTGCACCGAAGGAGCTTTAATATTGTCAGCTGTGGAAAATGGGAAAATGCATAAGAAGGGAATTTAGATGCAATCTAATTGAGTCACGGTGGCGAATCTCAAGAGCAAATAATGACACACCGCACACTGTGGGTAAAAAGGTAAACGCTGAAGGTGTGAAAGTGTCTCGGTCGGGAGAAGAATATGAAAGAAAATTTCGGTGTTTATTCAACACCAGTTTTCATTATGGCTGGCGCTCGTTGTCTTTTCATCAAATATTTATTAGTGCTCCATATAGAATGAATATTGTTTGGGTGTGCTCTATCAACATCCTCCGCCTTTATTGCACCCCAAACCCACCCCTCGCTGGCCCATGAATAAAGGAAAACTTTCCATAGTGGGGCACCCATTTGCTTTGGTTGTTAACAGCGAGAAATTTTCTCCCTTTTGTAACCATCAGCAGAGGGGCAATGAAATCTTTGCCATTGTAGTATTCTCACTCTTTTGGATGCCTTTCATACGCCGTTCTTCACCATGTAATTATTGATCCCCTATTCCTCAGCCCTCTCACCCTCTCACCCTCCCTTTCTCTCTGAACACTGATTTTATCACCAGCACAAAATTCATCAATATTTTCCTTCAATCATTATCCATTTCATCCATCTCAGAGATTTATCGACATTTCACGATTTTCATCCACCTTCTGGTGGTTTCATTAACTTAAGCATCTCACTTTTGTGACCGATTTACTTTTTATGTCTTCGTATAAAATGCGACGAAGGGTGTTTTATAGAATCTCCCTTCATTGACACATCCCGTGAGCTGTATTTTCGATAAGGAGGCAGTAAATTTTTGATTTCAAATGAATGGCGATTGCATTAATTGACTCATTGGTGAGGCTATTTTGGGTGAAGTTTCGCCAAAAGCACCGAAAGATTAATAATAATGAACGACGCACAGAAGGCAAATTTATGCGGAAAATACTGATGAAAAATTCCATCCAACAATCATTGCTGAAAACACAAGTTTTCTCACAGACTTTTGCTCAATTTATAGTGCGCTTAAATATTTAATCTGCGCCCAAGTCGTGGAAGTGAGAAAAGTTCTGGAGAAAGTCTGTAAGATTTTTGGAAGATATCTTGAGCGCAAGAGTTGAAAAAAAAAAATTGTTAACAAGACAAAATCATCTCATCACTAGAAAAGTGTAGGAAGAAGTTTTCGTCAGTTTTCACACAACTATAAAAGGGAGGGGAAAAAAAGGGATGGAGACTTGAGGAAGGTTGACGATTCCCACGAGAATTATTCAGCAGTATGCATCGCAATTCGTCTGGAAAGTCTCAAGAAGTCTATGCATGTATTTTATTCAACAATCCCCATGACCCTGCCCTCAACCCAAATCCCCACGTGACGACATACACACTTGAGATGGAAAATCATGCAAATATTCCACATAATCTCTAAAGTCATTTCCCACTGAATTTTCCATTGGAAAAGACAACAAAGAACCATCAATTTTCCACAATGTTTAGCATCCACTACTTTAGAATGCTTGAGGAAAACAGTGCAGAGATACCAGATGCTCTTCCTCTTCCCCATACAGCATACAATCCCCCAAACAACTATCCTTGTACTTTCTCCCTTGTCTAATTGGAAGAAATATTCACAAAGTGTCTGCTGAGATATGGTTCACGATGCAAAATACCTCTAAAAAGCTCATTCTCGCCCCCACATCATGGGCGCTCCACGTGTGCGTCTTTCCAGCTCTTCTCCGCATACAATTTTGCAGAAGGAATAAATGTGCTAAAGTGTTTTGAAATTTACATCCCAAGTCAAGGAGTTGTGCCATTGTCAGAAGAAGGGGGCGTAATACTACCAGACTCCGACCTATTTCACTACATTCATACCATATACTTTGTTTTCAATTTAATGCACATGGCAAACAAGATACAAATTTTCCTCCATATGCTCACTGTACTTCTGCATTCTCCACCCCAAATGACTCTTGTGCCAGTTTTCACTTGTGCACCAATTACGATTTTTCCCTTTTTAAAACTTATTTGCATTTCAAATAACATGTAAAGTCGCTTTTGGGATAATTATAAAATTCTCAGGAAGAAGCATAAAATGCTGGGTGTATATTTTTAAGTATGAAATTCAATTGTGTAGAAGGAAAATGCAAACAAATTCCCTCTAAAGCTCAATCGATTTTTTTTTCTCATGCTTTGTGTGTTCTAGAAATAATTAAAATGTACTCGAGAATTTTGTGAAAATTGCAAAGGACTTTTATAATATGAAATAATTTCATTTCAACAGAAACTTTTTCGTTAAAACTAACACACAACGAAGTGGATTTAGAGTTCCATATAGTGTATTTTGGCCTCTGTGCGGAAAAGTCTATCATGTTTACCGTCGCAAGGAGCTAATATTGCGCTTTTAGGTGGGGTTAATGTGTCAGCAGGAAGTTGATGTTAATTGTGAGAGTGAAAATCTATGAGGCTGATGGCAAATTTCCGCAAAAGGCGTGGTGTCGGACAATATTTGGCTGGGCTGATATTCTCCCTTCACTTAAGTAGTTTATGAGCGCGAGGACAATTCACCCAGATCAAGAGTCCTGATGGGCAGGACTGCCTGCCATTCTTATGAAGACTAATGAGTTGTCACTCACAATCACGGTTAAATTTTCAACACAACACTGGTGGGATTTTCTTGGCTGGCTTTCGAGATCTCACCCAGAAAACCACATAAGAAAAGTCTGGATAACTTCAATGTGTACAAATACTCCGATTAATCCACACCAAATCACTTTTATCCCCTCCAATTAATTCCTTCTCCTTCTGCTTTTATTGCGGGAATACTTTTTTTTTACAATAAATAAAATAAATCAACAGCAAATAAGAAAGTAATAAAATGTATTAAATTGTGGCTCGTGCGGATGGACGAGGACTCACACACGAAACTTTATTATTCCATCCATTGAATCAACTAACATACAAAATTGTTTATTTATTTATTCCTTCAAATCTCGAGATTTTCCGATTACGCACACATTCCGCCCCGTCGACCACCCACAAATCCGGAAGGGAAAGTGAAAAAGAAGCCGGATGGCGCAAAGGCACCCGGCGTTAAGCTGTGGAAACCTCAGGGAAGTGTGTGATTCTCACGAGGGACAAATGAAAAAATTACAAATACAGGAAAAAAAAGGATTCTAATATACGAAAAACTATCTTCATATTAAAGTGTTTTGCATTTATTTTTTTACATACAGCGTGAAGTCATTCTTTTACATTTATTGAAATATATCACTGTGAATCCTTTAAGGCTCTGTAAGTTCAAAAAAAAACTGAGTAAAATATTGTGGCTTCCTTGGTATGGAATCCACGGAAAGGGAAGAGACGTGCGCAAGGAAGTTTCTTGCTCATGGACGTGAATATTAGGGGGTTGGTTTGGGGGGCGGGAAAAATTGCGTAAGATGTTTTGAGAAATCGAAAACAAAATGTACTCTGGCAGTCTACATATCGCATGGTGAGCGGAATAAATTCTCAATTGATGTTCCATTTTCCCTCCATATCATCTCGGATGGCGTGCGTGCTGTTCCGGAGCAGCCCTTGCCACCCCTTTTCTGAATTTTCACACTTTTTATTTTGATTTTCATCCCAAGAACGCCCGCCGAAGCGTGGCGCAGAAGATCCCTCCCTCTGTATATATACCCGCAGTTCTTTGCGGAATTTCCTGCCGTATCCAGATAAATGATGTTTTTCGACGAGTGAAATCGTGCGAGTGAAAAATTGTCAGGATTTCCACCCCAGAGTCCAGGGGCGGCCACCCTTGGTGTGATCTTCTGGAGCGAGGGAGTGTGTCAAAGTCGCGCACGCAAGAAATATGATGAGGGACATTGACAATGACTGCGGAGTATTAAGTCATTATATCCCTCGAGAGGGGTGTCACATCAGAGATACTTCATGTTTCACGAGGGGTTTGTAATTGGTCGTGTCACAGCTGTTTGGATAGTGATTTTCACGATTGAAAAACGCCTCTTTCTCATGGATAAACAGACCGACTTTCACCCCGATTTCAGCCTGAGACGCCACAACTCGCGAATTAACAGCCCCTCGGTGGCGAACGGCCTCCTCGCTAGGGGTAATGAGGGTTGTGGTGCTCCGTGAGGATGGCACATGAATGTTGGACGAGAGAGAGAGAGATTTTTTGCGCCTGTCACATCATACAATATAAGCTTAAAATGATAGCTCAGGAACCATCTGGAGCCCTGAAGGGTGGATGTCGGCATTTTTTGCAGCGCCTACAGCAGCCCTCACAGCAGTCGCTCCTTGTCCACCTCTTTCGTCGCAATTCTTTCCTCTCCTGCTGTCATTTGGCGCTTTTGTCGCCGCAGCCTAATACACCCCGTCCGGACACCCCAGACCAGGCGCACAATGACAATTTAATTTTGCCCACCCACGCCGACCCACTCTCATTATAAAGAAATGAAACACACAGTGACACACAGTCGCTATATAAATTTATACCGTCATTACAGATAAAAGACTTACAACGTTATTGCAAAGTTTATTCTATAATGGTTTTGCTCTTATTAGATCCTTCTTCCTGGGCGCGAGGAGGCCCTTTTTTGCTGCTTGCCTCGTCCTTCCCCATTCGCATTCGCCAGTGGCGCACACAATCTTTTAATATTAATTGAAGAATAAGGAGAATAATTTTATTTATTACAATATAATTTAATTACAATTCACTGCTCTGCTAAGCACGTACTGTGAAAACTTTTCACCAAAGACTCCCAAGCCATGCTTTATGGCAAAAGTGGCCGGAAAACTAATTAGAAATTCCAAAATCTAAAGTGAAATATGAGATCTATTCCCTCTGGTTCTCTGGGCGTGAAAGAGGGAGAAAGCATGAAATAGTGGTGGGAAAAAAAAGTTGAAATACAATTATCTCGCAAGGACATGAGGAGAGCAGCAGTCTTTTGACCTCTGCCTCCAATTGTGCAGACTCAGGGGTTCTCCAATGTACCCCACAATGGCATCGAGAACATGTTAGAAAGTTATTGGCTTCGGCACTTGTGCCTGAGAAAGGGTATAGAGAGTGTGGGAATATCCTGTGCTAGCAGAAAGGATCAATACGTGGCCTTCCTTCCGCATTAATCAATACAAGAACGGGAAGTGCGTTTCTCAGGCTACAAATACATTTAGCACCCGAGGCGGCTCAATGTTGAGTGTGTTTGGTAATTGAGTCTCATTCGGGGTGTGGGGGAAAATGGAAATTTCAATTTAGATATCATTTGGGGAGAAAATGAAGCGCAACTTGGCAAGTGATCGAAAATCTCAGGGATGAAAGTTGAATTCTTGGTGATTTTTTCATCCCTTTTCAGAGTTGAATGAAGAGACGAATGATGAGCTAGTTTAACCCATATTGAATTCTTTAAATCTAATAAACGAATATTGGATAGCCATAACTTTGCAAGATGTAATTAAAAATTCCATCTCCTTAAAGTGGAGACTCATCTTGAAGTGGTGATTCAATGGTGCGATTAATAGTTAGGGAAATCCTGGTGGGATTAATCAACTCCTCCGAACGATTAAATATTGCAAACTTCCTCGTCGTTGCGCTCCAAAATTCATAACTTTTAAAATTTAGCCCTCGGTGGAGAAGCTATAAAACACTAGAAGAATTTCTTCCAGGGAAACTTGAGATATTGCAGCTGGAGAATAATCTCATTTCGCTGGAGCATCGCTACTAAATTGTGCAAAAGGGTGTGGAATTATGCATATCTCGGTTTGAGATATTTCAAGAATGGTTTCTCAACTATGCACCTTGATTGTTTGGCGGAGTGGAATTTGTGTGGTGAAGATATTGGGTGGAAAGTTTGCAATTAACCCAATGAAAATTCCTTCTTAAATTCTTCTTCCAAGCAATCTGAATGTTGTGAGCATTTTCACTATGCACCTCACTTTCCGCCATTAATTAATACTTTGAGAATTATTTCACTATCAGATGCTGTATCAACACCAATTTATAGTTGTATGCACAGGTTCTCTCAAGTGTACGTGAGAGAAGCAATTAAGACGCTCTGGGGGAAAGAAGGGTGCGGACTAGTTGGAATTGTTGAGAACAAGACAGTAACTTCCACTCTGACCATTAGTCTGTCTTTCTGTCTGGTAAACTGGCCAATTATAGATGTATTTGAGGATGGGAAAAACTTTCTGTATTTACAAAGTTAAATGGCAAATTGTTCCCTCTGCACTTTCTCTCCAACTCTAGATTTTGCAGTTGTGATTTTTCCCCGAGAATTGGGGATGAAAGCTCTGGCTTGAAGGACAAGATTCTGCATTAGGGTAATGTATTCATAGGAGTGCTTATCTATTCATGTTCATTCACCTGAGAAAACCAATAGTTTCACTGAAAGCGCTCTAATCGTAATTACTGTGAGATCTGAAGAGAATGGAAAGATGTTTCTTCTCAAAGAGTCCCATTTTGCTAAGAAATCCTATGGGTGGTTCAATAACGACCAGAGCTTTTAGAGCCCCTGAAAATTGATTTTGCAAATTGCTTATGAGGAATTAAATTGCACTTTCTTGGCAGTTGTGGATCAGAGTTGCCACAGAGTGCCAAATGAAAATCCTATAGCATGTGGAAATGTTAGCAAGAAGAGGATGAAGGAAAACTTCCTGCTTCAACTATCGCGCAAAGTGTTGGGGAGAAAAGAGATCAATTTGAATTGGTTGAAAAGTTAAAGGATTTTCATTTCTTCCTTGCGTGGAAATTTCAATTCTTCGTAAATCTCCTCCGTGGCTGTTGTGAATTTTTCTTCCATGCCAAAAGTTCGTCTATCGCACTTCCCAAACACCACCCAGACTTCACCTCACTCTCTCTCTCTCTCTACTTTTCTCTCCTGTGCACAAGAATAGCGAAAAGAGAGAGCGAACACCCAGAGATTTGCCAATAACTTGGTCCCTTTCCAACCCCATAACATGTGATTTATCCCCCAAAATGCCGCATTGGCAGCATATTGTCTTTTTTTATATGACTTCACCCTATCTTACCGTGCTCACCAATGAATCCGTCTAGGAGAATTCTTGATGGTGAGAATGTGAGACACGACTTTGCTCTTCTCACGAAGAGCGCGCCTTGCATGGCTAAAAGAAGCCTTTGACATGAAATCTTTCCCCAAACATCGACTCGAGGCAAGAATTCACACACTCACCACATGAAAGGATGAAGGGAGGATTTTACATCTTGTTGCTAACATTCATCTGATTCACTATTGGCTCAACACTTTCCACCAAAGATCTTTTCACACTTGATTTTCCACTCTTCAAACTTTCTCTTGCGCTGCCCATTTAGTGGAGGAGAATTCTGCATATTCATTTCAAGGCGTTTTTATTGGAATTCCACAACCATTCGTATGATTTTCATTACATTTATTACCCACTAAATAATCAGACAGAACTTGGAGTTTCGAGAACAGATGCTTTAGTTTGAGTGAATCCTTTGAAGGCCTGCCCAAGGATATGATATCTGATGGAGATTATTCATCTAGCCGATTGCCAAGAGCTTCACAGCTAGAGAGAAAACTGTCTAAGTTATTAATCAATCAAGAATATACGAGTCGTTGCAACATTACGAATTTTGAATTTCAATTCATAAAAGCCACGATTTTACGTTACAACTTTATGCTCTTAATAGCTTATAATTGATTGGGAGTTTATTTAATACAAATTTCAGCTGTCAAAAATCATTTCATATATTTTAGGGTAGAATATTCCAACTTTCGCCCAATTTCTGATCATTTTCCTCCACGTTGACGTAAGAAAATGTTCTTTAATGTCAGTGAAGCGTATTTTTCCGTTTTGCCGAAAGATGTTTTCAATGCCAAGAGATGCAAATGCTTTGGAAAAGCAATCAATTTCCTTGGCAAGGCTCGAAGGATGTTTGGAAACACACAAAAGGCCAGATAAATGCCAACAATCTGTATTTATTGACCAGAAAATATCATCAATATCGTCTGTTTTCTTGAGTTTCACATGAATTTTCCGGCTACTTTGCCTTCTCACGACGTAATATGTTAATTGCCCTTATTAATTAATTGGAAATGAATTTCCCGCTTTCGTAAATGTTATGAATCGCAATTTTGCAACGCAGTTTTACGAATTCATAACTTATTCAAAATTTGATTTTTTCCTTGCAGATTCTCCGGTGTGTTCGGCACTAAATGCTGGCATTGTTGGAGCCTCTCTGGAGGAATCTGTCACCATTCCGTGTCGTGTTAGTGCAGATCCTCCCATTGTGGACTTCGAATGGACCTTCTCCAGCAGCGGAGAGCGCTTCGAGGTGCCGCCTGGACACTATGTCACAATGCAAGACACCCAATCAATGGGTCACGGCGATTCGTCGCACACGGAAATGGACGGTAAAAAAAAAGTGGGAATTCTTTGCTGGGCTGTGATTTAGAAAAGTGGACATTGAAAGACTGGGGCGAGGGTGGCGTAAAATGAATTGGGGGATCAGATGGAAAATGTGTGTCACATGATTAATCCAGGTATTCTTTTGCAGTGCGAAACTCCATTGAAACTGTTAGTGAGCTGGTGTACACGCCGAAGAATGAAAGGGATTATGGTACTCTTGCATGCTGGGGGAGAAATTCAATTGGGAAGCAGACAGAACCATGCATTTTTCAAGTTGTTCCTGCAGGTAACTTTTTCCATCTTACCCACACCCTTCAGCGTCCAAATACTGTTTCTCTGTTGCCCGTAATTTCACCACAAAAGCTTTCTCGGTGGATGTGCGAGAAAAATTCATGGCAGGTGGAAGTTTCTCTTCGTGCCTCAACCATCGCCACACGCCAATGCAGTGGCGAGGAAGTGAGAGAAAGAAAGAGTGAAAAGAGGCACGAAGACATGAGGAATTTCCTCCAATTGTTGGAAAATTTTTAGAACAGATTCGTGAGTGAGAAAGAAAGAAAAAAAAGAAAAGAAATTCAATCCCATATCAATAATGATTCATTTGATTATATTTCACTTCTCTCCACTCTTCCACCGACCAACTCTGTCAGCGCGAAATGGGGAGAATGTCGATGGAAAAAGTTCAGTTGAATACACCTCACACGTGTAAATCATTGAAAATCACGTGTGTCGATTGGAATTTCTCTCTCTCACATCCACAATCATCTATTTCAAATCAAATTTTCCCAATTTTTCCCGCCCCCCACGAGCCCTATAGCACTCGTGAGGGTGAAAATTTACAGCACATTGCTAGCACTTTGGGTGAATTCTTCGAATTGCTTGACCTTCATAACTTTCTCTATTTTTTTTCCCCCATTTCTCTATAGGAATTTTTTTTACACCTCATATGATTTTTGAAGAAAAATTCCTTTCTTTAAGCAGCCCAAAGTGTTTCTCCCTCTCCATCCGCCATCGTCCTTGGCCCGGGATGAAGAGATTTCGGGAGAAATTCACCTAAAAGTGTCTGAGTGTTTCGACACTGAGGCAACCAAGTGTGAATTTTCCATGGAAATTTCTGTAATGTCGAACCCAGGGTGAAAAGCTCTAAATTTTATTTTTCATTCTTTTTCCACAATTCACCCACCCCTACACTTCACATAGATATTGATTGTGTAAATTCATACTGGATACTTTTTTCTACATTTCTTTTTTTGCTATTTCTATTCTTGCAAGGATACACAAAAGTCGAGAGGTTTCTAGATTCAATCACATCAAAATATCTGCTGGAAACTTAACATAATTCTTAAATACTATTTTTCTATCAGTTTTTTAAGGTCATAAAACTAAAAATTGAGTCTTTTTAATACAATTGCAACCTAAATTTGGGAAGAAAAAAGGAGAAATGCATGTTTAAAGCACTTCCACCGTTCTGAAAGCATCTGTTTAGCCGTATTATCTCCTCCTTGTTATGTTACATATTTATCCTTAAGCCTATCTACAATACTGGCAACTCTGGAGTGTCTATCCTCACTTCATCTTTTCAGCCAAACCATCGCCGCTGAGAAACTGTACGTTGCGCTCGTATCTGATGTCGTCGCAGCAGCAAATGATGAGCCCGGGCAATTCGACCACTCTGCACGGTGGCCAGAATCACCGAGAGAGCAATTACATCAACACGCAGTATGTTCGGGATCGGGCAGCGCCGGGTGGGGCCAGGAGGACGCATCAGTCTGATAGATTTAATCAAAAGAACCTCACGGCGCCGCGGAGGCGCGACCAGGAGGGCGGCAAGAGGGCCAAATTGAATTTGCCGAGCGGCAGCTCAAGGGCTGACGATAGGAGAATGTCGAAGAGGCAGTCGGGCGGGGGCGGCGCAGCAAATGCCACGGATGAGAAGGTCAGGAGCTCAGGCGTGACATCCACGGTGAGCAGCGAGCCGGGGGTGCAGTTTCTCAAGTCTGAGGCGCGGATCCCCGTGGAGCCCGGGGGTGAGCTGACGCCGTCCATGTCGGCATTCGAAACGGCTCCCACCGCTATGGAGCTGGAGTGTGTGGCTGGCTATGACGGTGGCTTACCGCAATTTTTCATCCTCGAGGCTTATGATTCCCGGACAAAAAAGCTCCGATTAAATGTTTCAAGTGCCTTTGTCGACATACCGCTGTTCAGGATAGACCTGGCAGGTACGCTGGCATTCTCACGCCCACCCAAACTCACACACACACACCCCTGACGCCCCGTGTTGTCGTCCATTTCAGATCTCACCCCATCGGATTCTGCATACATTGATTCAGCCCCCATGCTCCATCTTGTCGCATACAGTGTAAATCAGAAGGGACGCTCAGAAGCCACTGTGCTGGAAGACATTGCCATAAATGAGGCGGAAAAGAGAACAGGTAAACGACAATTTATCCACACACTTTGATATTTCCTCCATCTCTATGGCATTCTATTTCATCACCCACCACGCCGTTTGGCTACACGAGCCCCTATCTTGCCAACTAATCGACAGTTGGATTGTTGACTCATGTCATTGGTCAACAATAATCATTTTTCTGACATTTTCATTTAACACCCTCACCGGCCATCGATAAATGGTGAAAAAGTCCCAGATATTTCTACCCCATAAGACAAATCCAGTGACAAATTGCACTGGAGAATTAGAAATCATTGATTTCTGAGGTGAACTATAATTTCATGAGGGATGAAAATCAAGTTTTGAAGATGTAAATCAATATTTTCTTGTCATATTCCCGCTAGAGGGCAGTAAAGTTGGCGTGGGGGACGCTAATAATATTGCATTTTGGAATGATTTTCTATGTCTTCTCACGAATTCTCACTCTTTATGACGTCCTGGCGTGATCCTGTCGAGGAGAGAATGAAATTTTAGCGCGAAAATAAAGATTTTCGCTGGTTTCATCATCAGATCAGCTGATCAAACTTAAGTTTAGAATTAATATACATAAAGTAATTTTTTAAAATTCAAAATAACACGAATAATCACAAAGTTTTCGGTCTGAAATTGCAAGTGAATTTCCCCTTGGTGATTTATGATGTTGACTGAGAGATTCGGAAAGCTCAGGACACAACAATTTAAATGATAGTTGAATTGTGCTCTCAGCACGAGGGCCTCAATTTATTATCTCAAGTGCAATAGTTGACGCAAAAAGTGTCTCCGGCGACGGTAGACAATGTCAGTGGGAGTGACAACTCTGCATTAGCCAGTCACAGAGGAGACATTGAGGGACAACAATGGATGGTACATGGAGAGGAAGAAAAAACAGTTTTTCTAAATTGAATTATGTTAGTTAGAGGAAATGCTAGACATAAGCCCCATCATCTGAGAAGCGAATTCACAAATAACAAACTCCGCTTCTTCACCATTTCGAATGGCATGAAGCAAGACAGCGCCTTCTGGGGCTAGAGAGGGAAAAACGAATGTTATTACCACTTTTTGCCATCTCTTTTTTCTTCCCTCTTCCTCGCCCCCCGTCCGTTGGGGGATGTTTTTGACTCCCATCCTCCTCGCCGATAGTCAGGACAGATAGAGAGCACTTCTTAGCTTTTAACACAACGAAAAGCTCAAAATATCGTCACGAGAGTCATGCGTTTCGCCTTGTCACATCATTGTGTCCCCCCAGCCTTTGGTGTTTTTAAGAGTGGCAACCATCATCCCCCCTGACTCCATTGTTGTGCGATCCTCCTGGTCTGAAGTGTATTTATGGCAAGTGTGTGTGTGCCATCGCACTGATATCGTCGTCAGAAGCCACCCCAAAATTATCATTTTTCCTACTTTGCACACTGAAGCACGAAGAGAAAGTAGATGATTTGTGCAAATGTGATTGAGTTCTGCCACTGACAACGTAAAGCGCACCATCCCTTAACAGTGCGCCACCTTGAGAGACTGTCTTAGGGGAGAGTCGCACTAAAAACCACAAGTCAACTTTAATCCTGATGCTGCGATTTTCTTTTGTCACCCAGGAATTAATGTGTCTTAAATTTTTCTTGATTTTGAAACGTTGATAAGAGTATTAAATAGAAGTTTTCGCTTCAATTCCTCTCATAAATTCAAGATTGGCATTAAAAATCATAAGTTGGGAAATTTAGTGTTAATATCGCTGTGAAATTTACCTCAAAATGCTTTCCAATTGTTCATTCATGCGCTAATTTTACCCTGAAATAATTATTTTGTGAATTTTTCAGTTGATTTAATGATATTTTATTGTAATTTTTGACTCCAATATAGCAAAGTTAATAGAAAAAATGGAAATATTATTTCCCAAAGTCTTTTTTAAATAATATACAAACATTTTATTCACTTAAAATCTATGAGAATTTCAGGAAAATCCTGAATATATTATTAGAATAATAATAAAGAGGTATTTTGATTGTATTTTAAGACAATTTTCTACTATGAAAAATCGACTTTTCATATTTTTCAATCCACTCGTTGAAATTAAAGTTTATCTATTGGAAATTGAAGCAAGCAATTCTCAAGACACTGTCAAATAACTCCTTTTATTTTTATCGCAAATAAACTCTAAAATTCATCATCCCCTCGTTAGATCCATGGTGTTTTCCTCTGGGAAATCTTTTTTCTAAATATAATTACTGGATGATCATAAATTTCAATATTATCTCTGTCTTCCACTGAAGTGTCTGATATCCTTTTCCCCTCGGTTTAAGTGCTTCAAAATTAGGGGAATAAAAGAAGATAATGAAAAGCTCCTCGCAACGAGTGGTGAGGAGGCAAAACCGCTGAGGATTTTGCGTGTTGGCGAAGCCATAAAAGGGGCCCAACGCAGCATCCCTCTATTTCCGGTGATGCAAATTGAAGGCCGGCCTCCGTCGAGGGGGCGGTTGGGAAGTGGGCGCACAAAAGGAGCAGCAACAGCCCCGAGATACTTAATATTGTGTTTGATACAATGATGATGTGTATTGTTGGTTGTGTACTATGGACAAATGATGGGGTGAATGCTCCACTAATCTGCCCTCTTCGGCCGCCCTCCGGATGGCAGCGCTATATAGCGTAAAGTAAATATAAATCACATTTTATTACACTCAAACAAGAGAGCCTACCATCTAATGGACATATGGCAATATTTTATCGACTATTGTAGCATATTAACTTTCACTGGTTGGGTCACAAAACTTTTTCTTTCCTCGCCCTCATTCACATCTTTTGCTCAGTGCTCTTGAACTTCCCTTCTCCGGCCCCCACCCCCCCACACACCCCCACTTGATATGTGGAATAACATGAGAATATTCGTCGACTCCACATCCATTGAGCAATTAAGGAGAAACAAGAATTTATTGTGTTTTCCTCTTGTGCCAGAGACTCCAAGAGTGACTCTCGCTCTCTTGGCATCGCCAAAGGAAAGGAAAGGAATATTATTTTGGCTACACTTTCTGTCATTTATACTCCATGGCCGCACATGGAGAGATTTACAGTGGCACCCAGCAGATTTATTTGCACAAACTTTGCATAATTTCGTGCAGGAAAAATTTTCAGCGAATCGAACACCGCATGAGAAGAATTCCCCCCCCCATATATGATGAGAAATTGTGTCAATGGAATTTATTGCTATTTCTCGATGCCGCAAAAACTGCTGCAAAATGAGGAGATAAAATTCTGCTGAAAAAAAAAATTCCATGCGGTTTTGCAGCGTGATTGAAAATTTATGATATGATTTTTGAGCATGCTAAAAAAGGAGCGCTCTGAGCCTCTTTTACGTAAATAGCCATTTAATGGTTATGGGGTGGTGAGAAAGTAGTGAATTTATGGTTACAAAATGATAATGTAAAATTTATTGGATAGTGATTTAAGGATGTTTGTGGAGGCAAAATGCTCTCGCATACATATGTTAAGTATGTTGAATGCAAACTAGACCAAGTAAAGAGGAAAAGTGTGAAGTAATTTTTCCACAAACTGTACTTTGTGTTGAATAAAATCTCTCAATTTTGCAAACTTCAGTGGATTCAAGACACATTTTGCACGTTCAGTGGAAAGAAACAGAATCCAAGGGGGAGATAATATTTCCTTGATTTGTACACGACTTTCTAACACTTCCGGCACTTGAAATTTTTAGACTTTTACGACAAAAAATCGCAAATTATAATTAATATCTTAAGGTTCCATGCGACATTTCTGTAAGAATTAATTTAAAATCGCTTTTTTCAGCGTCTTTCCCAACCATAACCTCAAAAATATCACTAAGAGATCTTAAAAGGCTTCAATTGGGAGCTTTCTAGATGATAAAATCTATCTAAATCGCCGAAATCGTACAGAAAATAATCTAAATTAACATTTTTCAAGTCTCAATCAATATCTTTGAGGTTATGTTTAACTTCAACACAATTTTAAGTGTTTTTTGGCATCAAATACTTAATTTGGTCAGTGACTAGCAATCTTGTCGATTTTAGCATAAGAATTTACGTGCTAGAATTCGAAATAATCACTAAATCCGTCTGTGATTCGTTACATAACCTAGAAAATTATTGCTTCTTCGTTTAATTCTAAACAAATACAAAGAATCGGGATGATTAGTCAATAAAAGAAGCACACAGGATAGAAAAATTGTAAGTTTTTGAACACTTCCACTTCCTAAGTACTTCTGCTGAGCTGTACATCACTTCTACTGACTATATTATCTCCTTCTTGGGAAGAAACAGACTCGAGTGATTCTCAATGAGCTAAGAAAGCCGCATGTGAAATAAATTCACCCTACAAACAACCCTTCAATTAATACCCGTGAACACGAGCTTATTGTGAATTCCCTTTTAGGAATCCTCGCGAGAATCCCAAACATGTGGAATTATGTGAATTTCCCTGGGAATGTCAGTGGGTGAGTGGGTCAGGAGAAGGGGGAGTATGTGAGGTGAAATGGGGCTTACTGGGAAGTGAATCAGGAAATAATGTTGACAGAGTATAATTTTATTTGTACTCGATAATGAATGATTCCGTGTTCTTATATTTTTATTCCCTCATTCACTGTTTGTTCCCCACATTTTCTCAAACTGGGGCGGATTTGTTGCTGCTCCTGATGGGAAGGAAAAAAAAGAAGGGAACATGAGTGGGTGGATAAAGCAGGAAGATATTTATGTATTGTCCTGACGTGTAGCAGCAAAAAAAGACAGAGAGAGAGGCTAAGAGAGAAGAGGTTTTCAGAAGACTTCCTGGGGAATGTGATGACATGAAAGGTGAAAGCGGGAAATCCTACTTGAAACTCAAAACTTTTCCCACCTCTTGGCCATCATTTGTTTAAATAAACTGGGAAATTCTTCTAGCCAATTCCCATTTCACTTCTCCAGTACATCTATGCCATCTTCACCATGGAGATAATCTGCTTTCTTCCCACTCACTCTTCATGGGGGTTTTTCGTCATTTTCTCCCTTCATTGGAACGTTCCTCTCTCGGGGCTTTTTGCTGTCTCGAGAAAACCTCTCTCTTGTGCTGTAATAGTGGGGATGTTAAGTTGAAATCTTTCTATTTTCCAACACACAAAAGCACAAACCCAACAAAATAAATCATATCCATTTTATGCTCAAACAGAAGCACTTTATACTGATCTAGAGACCACATAAAGTGTATGATTTCGGTTGCTCCGCATCATCTCAACTCAAACTCATTCTCTTGACTATTCTCCAATAATAATGCCCTTCTTGGAAAACAGAAGCGTTTCACTTGCTTCATTTCTTGCGTAACACAATTTTCACTGCACAATCTTCCCTGAGAGACGAAGCCATATCTATAGGGAGAGATAGAGAAGGGTGAAAGACAGAAAAGTATGATAAGGAAAAATTGATAAAATGTTTGCTGCATTCTCCATCCCTTCCACCCCCTCCCCATTCCCATTTCCCGGCGCAAATTCTTCCTTCCTCTCCTTTTGTGCACACGAAATAAGGAGAGACGACGCCAAGACTGCCAAGGAAGCTCTTATGAGATACACGCTTAAAAATTATCGAGCAATTCCCCTCGAGATTTCCCATTCAGATAGGATCTTTCAATTGCACGGCTTTCGACGGGAGATAATCCTTTAATTTTTATTGCTTCCTGGCGTTGTTGCACAAGCACAACTTGTGAGACTTTTTCACACTCTCCAGAAATGCATCTTTTCCATCTTCTCCATTGCCAAAGCACGCGACTTTGTTTCAGAACAATTACAATTGTTGGAAATTGAAGGCGTTCTTTGCAAAACAAAGAATTTCGCTTAAAGATAAGATTCTCCTTCTCGCTTTCTTCAAATACGTTCGCTCATTTCCTTCCTTTTCGACTTTTCCGATTGTGGAAGTGTTTGTAAGTGGAGAAAGAAAAAAAGGGCGGCAAGCAAATTTCATGTCTTTACTTAAGCGCGCGGCCAGAAAAAAAAGTTAATTTGAAAAACAACCCATAAAACGCATAGCATTAAACCATTTTCAGTAATTTAATTAGCACAATAAGCTCTATCCAGAGCAATAATTGTCAGATTAAGTACTAAATTAATTGTCAAACAACAGCCAATGAGCCATTAAAAGTGTGAGAGGTCAGCGATTTGCATTTGCAGTCATTAAAATTTATTTATAAAAGTACCATCGCGATATTATCTCTCTAATTATATTTTTCTTTCTCTTCACTCTCAATGGCTTTGAAAAGCACAGCCAAAGGACACACTCTCGCCTATAATGTGTATAAGGAAATCTCAGGAGAACAAAACATTCTCTCTCTCCTAAGTGGTTGTAATTGAATTTTATTTTCTAATTTTCACGAGGGGAACATTCTTTGATATATAAAAAAGGAAGCCAGAGAGAGGAAAATGCGCGACAGAATGTTTATGCAGAAGGTGTTTTGTGGCGAGATTAAGTAAATTATGAGGATTAGCGTGGGGATGAGATTCTAGATAGACATTTGAGATGGTCTTTCGCGCCGCGCAGATGATTTACAGTGTATTCCTGCTCCAGGGATAAAAAGGAGCCCTTGACAAGTCTTCTGGCTGTCGCGGCTCTCGCTGGTGTATTATATGTGCATTTCATCACATCATCATGCTCTTTTTCGTCCATGAAATTCCTTCTAGTGGTTGTGAAATTGAAATTTCAAGAGAAATAGGATTTCTGCGGGAAAAGTCAAGGGGGAGATAATATGTCTTTAATCTGTACATCACTTTCTGTGCAGAATCTTTAGCAATTCAAATACTTCTGAACGTTTCAAAAGACATTTTTCATCGCTTTTCGACTTCTTCATGTCCCAGAATTTCTTCATAAACAATTTTCGTATTGTGAGGTTATGAATTCGACTAAATAATACTTTAATCCTGAAAATGAGTAAATTTGGCGAATATAAGAATGTTTCCACTGGATAATAAGGTTGAATTTGTCATTTTAGAGTGGAATTTGCGAGAAAACCTAAGCAAAGAAACATGTTTCCAGATTGAAATGACATTTTTGAGGTTATGGTTGTCTTTTAAACTGTTTCTTAACCAATATAGACTATTTTCCGAATAAAAATGCTCAATTCTTCTGGGAAAAGAAAAATTAGATTATTTTAAAGGGTTATTTATTCATCAGAATCTGTTTTAAATTATTCACATAACCTAGAAAAGGTACAAAATTGATTTTTCTAGTAAAATCATTTAGAAAATGGCTCCATTCGTTGAATCAGGAGCTTTTGCAATGCAAATATCCTAAATATTTTACCACTTTCAATTCCTAACACTTCTTTTAAAGCTGTACATCACTTCCAACCAATTTCTATCCCTTGGAAAGAGTCACGAGATGAGCTTTTCCCTCTTCTGAAAGAGCAAAAAGTTCAGTGGTTAGTCAAATTAAGAAAATCCAAGACGAAAAGTCACAATAAAGAGCATTTGTGAAGAATCTTCAATTCTGCGAACAAACTGGGCGTAATTTGGCAATTTATTTGCTGCAAAATATTATTCCAACATTATCAATCTGGCTCGTAATGTCATTAAAACCTATTTACGCTCATCCCTTCATAATCATGGCAATCCATTCCAGTTTAAAAGCGTGCATTACATGCGTACATCCTCCTCATCCTGTCCACCTCATTGCGGTCTGCATGTGCTCCAACTCCTGCACACAGACTGGCCAGATAATCCAGATGGAGTGCGCCAAAGCGCGCACTGATCCCACCGACACACTCGCCGAAATCACTCGCCCCGCCTCGCGTCTAATGAGCTCCCCATGCCATCCCTTTTGCAGATGGCTCCGGAGGATTGTCCGTGCTGCCCGTGGCCGCGCTGCTGACGGGCGCCCTGTTCACCATCGGCATCGCCGTGCTGCTCGTGGTCGTGCTGACGGTGCGGAAGCGCCGGGAGCCGTCGACGGTGTGCGACGGGAAGGAGAAGCACTTGGGTGAGTGTGTTTGGGCTATGCTGGGGAGTCTGTGCGGGATGGCAACTGAGGTGTGGACTCATTGCAGGCATGGATAACACTGTGACGACACCACTGGAGATGGGAGTTGGTCAACAGAGATTTGTTGTGGCTTACACGCTCAAGCAGGGTGTGGAGAAGCAACCGGATATCCTCAGTGCACAGAAAGGTGAAGAGCACTTCCGTGTCTTTTGATGTCCATACTTGCCAATTAACCCCTGAGGTGGCCAACATGGAAATTCCCAGTCGATTGCACATCCTTTACACATCTTCGCTGCTTCACCCATTCGATATGGTTGGAACAACAACCCATAGATTGTTTCACTTTTGGTTTTAAGCCTGAATTGTGCAGAATTTAACACTATATATGAAATCATGTGTATTATTTGAAGCTTTCCTCGCTTTTGAGAGCTTACAATATTTGTCTTTTTTTTCATTTCAAAATTATACACACATTTTCCCTTTCAATTAAAGCCGAAATACGCGGCGCTGAGAGTGAATCCTGGGTTCATTCAGTAAATGTGCTCCCTTTCAAAACGCCTGCCGCAAAGGAATTAACGCACGCAGGAAATTTGATGCCGTGGCTGAAGTGTGAGAATATCTGGTGGCGTGTGGCCAAATAAATCTTCCCTAATTGCTCTCACACTTCAGCCTATGACACGCTGAAGAATCGATGAGAGAAGGATTTTCCGGGAATGCCAAATTCGTCCTCAACACTCTCGTGACAGAAATGGGGTGAAAAGCCTTAAGCGTGGGCCTCGCGATTGTGCTTTTGTCAATCACAATTGAGAGCAACTCATTAATGTTTTAGAAAATTTTCGAGAGGCACTCCTAATTTTATCAAGTGTCATTCAAGTAGAAGCATATTAAAATTCAATTTCCTGTTTGACAAACACATTCTTCCGCGTGTTTTGACCCAGAAAAGGGGTTTTTCTTGCTCCCCGAGGGAATTATCATGGGCTTTTTATGGGGTGTGACACACAGACAGTCAGGTAAAACGATGTGAAAATGACTCACGTTTAATTGAACTCCCCAGGGACGTCTGATGGGGGCGTGAGAGACTCGAGCTTGCTCGGGTCACCGGCTGCAATTCGTCCCGAAGGTCTCTTCATGAAGCACAAGGAGAGCAATCATCTCAATTACGTAAGTGTAACCGCTTATGGCATTCCGACAAACTCGCAGAATTTCACAGCTTCGCCCCTCCTTCCCACTGCAGATATCACCCACGTACTCGTGCCAAGATTTCGAGCAGAAGCCGGCGAATCATCAGCCCGCCGGCCAGATGGAGAGCCTCGTGAGTTACGCCACATTGAGGCCATCGGCCTACGGAGCCAGCAGCTCCTCGGCGATGGACTACACCATCCAGCAGCCGCCACTCTACACAGCCATCAGCGACTCCGGCGGAGGCGTGCAGTACACGTCGAGTGCCCAGAACGGCCTCCTGCCCATCAACGGCTCACCGGGCGGCGCCGCCGAGGAGCCCACGCGGCCGGAATACCTCCACTTTGAGCGCTCCACGCTCGACTACCAGCGCATCTACACCGAGGCGGAGGATGCGGACAAGGTGGCCAACAGCAAAGCCCTCCACGGCGCCGGACAGGACTTCCGGCACGCCGACTTCACCGCCAATGCCACAGAATTGTCCACAAGCGTGGGAAATCACCTGGGCGCGAAGATGCCACGAGTCAACTCCTCCTCACTGCCCAAGAATCGCAACACGAGGAACCATATCATCACAGACACACTCCCTGGACCAGAAAGTTGCGTCTAAGGACTCAACTTACATCACACACACACATAACCAAAAACGCAGTCAGAATATCGTCACAGCGACCACATATTTCACACCCTCAGCGAGTCACAGAAAATGCGTCACTATTTTTTCTTCGACTCAAGACTGTGCGCCGCCATTAGTTGGAAGAAAGAAAAGAAACACTTTTTACCAAAGAGAAGCATAAAAGAGTGGAAGAGAGTGAATTTTATCAAATATGTAAACAAAATATAGGAACAAAAATAAATATTTATGATAATAAATTTAACCCATCGGATAGGCGCAATATGTGCAGAAAATATTGCAAATTGAGGGTGAAAGCGACAAGAAAAAAAAAACTTCCTGTTGATTTTAGCGCGAGATAAATTTTAGGCAGAAAAAAAAACTGAGAAAGAAAGAGAAATAAAGCGTGTAAATATTTTGTAAATACGATTAATATTTTGGGCCTATTCGAGAAGATTCATCAAGAGAGAGAGAGAGAAAAAGGATACTCAAGAACAAACATCGAAAGAAATTTTCATCCAAAAAAAAATGTGTGAAACTCGAAGAAACCTAATGAAAGAAAGAAAGTGGTGAAGAGTAGTATTAAGTACATGTTTATAAGTAAGCGAGTGAAGATTTGATATTAAAGAGAATTCATGAAATGATTAAAGGAAGACACAAAAAAGGAAAAGAACTTGCGAAGAATGTGCAAAAAGAATGGAATAAAACTCAATGAAGAAACAATAACGAAATAGAATTCTCATTTCTGAACTGATTATAAGGAGACATAAAAAAGAAAAAAAAAACTTGAACAGTTAATAGATGATAAAAGAAAAAGGATGAAGATTGTATTGTAAAAATCCTGCTTTCCAGCTCCATGTGATAGCAAACAATCTAAAAATGATGCGTAAATAGACGTGTTTTGTCATATTTCTTCGTCTTTCACTTCCGCTTTCTCGTCTTCCTTCTTTTTTCCTGTGACTGGAGAAAAGGTAAGTGCAATAAAACTCTCTTGTTTAAGTCAGAAATGAAATTTTAATAATAATCTCTGTAATATAAAAACCAGCTGTATAAGTCAAGTGTTCTTTTCTGCATTTTACATATTTTTTTTGTTTGTTTTCTTCATCTTAGATTTAAAGAGTTAATAGAGAATAGAAACTGAAGATGCTCAATGTTTGCTTCATATTTCTCCTTTCTTTCTTTCTTCATCTTTATCGCATTATTTGTTATCATTAACTATAAACAGAAGATATATAAGAATTAACTTATGACAGAGCAAAAATTTATATCCTAAATTTACATAATTGATAAATTTTCTCCTGTTTGCATGTGACAAAATTTATAAAAAATATCTCTTTTTTTTCTCACCATTTAAGTAATAGTTTTATGCTGTGAATTATAATAATTAAAAAAAAAAGATGATCGAGGACGTAAAATTAAATAGTAACGGCAGAGATTGAAGTGTGTTTGTGTGTTGTGATTACAGGAAAAAGATGTTTTTGTGTGTGTATATAAAATATTACAGCGCGACAATGTTTGCAATCTCACTCACTATATTTTCCAATCAACACAATAAGACGATGAGAAAGAACATATAGTGAGACTCAAAATAGTGAAGGAAAAAAAACATTACAAATTACTTGCACAGGAATTTTTTTCTCTCTCTCATTAAATAATAAATTTGATTTCCTTTTCCTAAAATTCACATTTTTTCATCATTTTTTTTTCTTTCATTTTGTAATTATCATAGCGAGGAAAGTAAAATATTGAAGATATAAATTCACATATCCGCCTATTCAGTGACATTATTATTAAATTTCTTACACTTCATCATCATTATCATCATGATCAGGACAAATCCACGCGTCGTCGAGAAGGGAAATCAAATATTGTGGACGAACAAACAAAAAGGGGAGAAAAGGAAGTGTATATGTAGGTAAATAAAATGGGAGTGAATTACTTAAAGTCCACCTGTGATAGGACAGTCGTCAGTGGTTGCGCCTCAACTTCCGGAAATCTCCTCAGATGATTGAGTAGAATTTGTAAAACCTCTTTATCTAAACTCTGCTCAATATCAGTGTGTGGCTGCTTGGCAGCACACGACGCGAGCGTCACCATGAATTGCCTCCAGATCTTGCCATTGATGTCCACCTCAGGCTCACCCTCGTACAGCTCATAAATCGCCTCCGCCGTCACCATCATCGCAATTATCGACAGCATGCCAAACTGCAAACAGAGGAAGAAATTGAGTTGCTCTCCATTGTGAAAAATTCAATCTAAACACACCCCTAGAGAGCCACCCACAATAATTCCGACACAAAAACCACCCCAAAACATACACGAACACAGAGTTGTTCAACCCATTGGCAAAGTGTAATCACACTGCAATTGTGCAATCTAATAAGAACGGATAAAAGCCATGATATACCGAATTATTCTAAGCACACACTCCCTCTCTCTCTCTGCCTCCCCATCCAACACGAGTGGAGGATTCACCACTGAAATCCCCTCATTTATAGTTAACCAAACTCCAGTGATGGTCCAAAATCAATAAATGCAAATTTGGCAGTTACAAGCGAAAGAGCAAGTATTTGCTTGTTGAAAGAGTCCCAGTTGAAGCATTGTTATTAAATATTGCGCATTGTTAATTAGTGGTAGTGGTTGCAAAAGTGCTCTGCATGATGACAAAATTGCCATTTTCAAGTGGACGCCACTCCACAGGCACAGCCGGACAGGTGCACTTTGTCACACCATTACTATGTAAATTGCAGTGTAAGTGAAATATAAAGCCAACGATGCTTCTACACTACAACTTTTCAAGTCTCTTTGCTCTTGCACAATTTCATTTCATCAACAAAAAAAAATCCTCCACTTTAAGTGGTATTGTAATGACAAAAAAGAATTATGCAATAAAGAAAAATTTCTACATCACATTAATATTGATAGAAAGAAAGTGTTTCGACGAGTGAATTCAAATAATATGAAAACTCACAGTCAAAATTGTTCATATTTCAATCAAAATTTCAATAAATATTCACGAAATGAACCAAAAGTTTTCATAAAATAATCAGAATTCAGCAATATCAACACTTTAAAACACAATTTCAAAGAATTTAGATTAAAGAATCGTTGCAACATTACAGATTTCAAATATCAGTTCGTAAAAGCTATGAATTTCATAGTTTCTATTGGCAGCCACCTGGCGGCGCTAGTTTCAGCTGTCAGAAAGTCATTTAATTGCAATTTAAAGGATTCTGCTGTCCAGAATGTCCGGGAAGATGTCTTTGTTATGATATTTCCGCACCAAACCCATTAGTTCCCTTTGAAAGAGTCAAAAGATGTCCGGAAGCACATAACCTCAATCTGGTGTATTGAAATGTGCATAAATGGCCCGAAAAATTCAATAAATATGTGTTTATCAACTTTTCACGTGAATTTTCTGGCTCTTCTTGTCTTCTGGCGAGGAAATAGTCTTGCAGAAGATAAATTCCCCACTTTCGTAAGTAATATGAATTCATATTTTGACAACTTATTTAAAATATTACAAAACTTAAGTTGCAACGACGCCAAAATTCTACAAATTGCGAATTGATCATTAAAGCTTAATTCCCTGCAAAAACAGATGATTTAGACTCTTTTCACACTCTTCAATTCACCCATCAAATCAAAGATTCTCTCTCTCTTCGCTTAACATTGATAATTTGAACTCACCTTATTTCCAAAGATGTAATTAATCTTTTTGTTCGCCGCCACAATTGCTTTTGGAACTGTGATAAAATCACTAAATTTCGCCACAATCAGATGATTCTTGAACTCCGGAAAGAGCGCCACGAGACTCCCATCGGATTCATCTCTGTCCTTCTTCGCAATTATTGGCAACACGGTGAAGATTGCGTGCCACACTTGCCACTTGTGCTCCTCATCCACAAGATGTGGCAACGAGCGCCTGATCAGCGTTCTGCCCTTTCGCACATTCATCATGCCCATCACCTTGTCCATGCTCAATCCCGCCACCAGCTGTGGCAGGAGATCGTCCAGCTTGTCCGGCTCTGGGTACTTCTCCTCAATGGCATCGAGCACCGCCTGGCGACTCTTCTCATCCACATCCACCGCAGCAGCAGCTTCGCTCTCCAGCTGCTCCAGCGCCTGCTTCCGCTCGCGCTCCTTCTTCCCCTTCACCACCAGCGCCGTGGCCATGGCGATGGGATTCTTCAGGTCCTCCACCTTCAGCATGATCTTGTACAGTGACTCAATGTGCAGCAACATCTGCCGCGACTTCTTCTGCGTCGACAACTCAATGTTGCTGCTCAGCTGATGTCCCGTCTCCGGTCCCATGATATCCATGTCAATGATCTTCCTCGGCGCCGTCACACTGCCACACTGAAGCTTCCCCAGGCTGTTCTCAAACTGCAGCGGCGTGTACGTCCTGGGCGTCATCTCCTTCTCACCCTTGCTGTTGTCCTGATTCTTCTTGTCACGATCATGATTCCGCTGATTCGTCCCATTCTTCCCCATCGACAGCAACACCAGCTGTGCATGCCCCTTGGGCTGCGTGAGCGGATGATTGAGCTGATTATCCCTGTGCGCTTTGCTCTCGCGCTCACGCTTCATCCGTCTCTCCTTGAACACCGTATAGTAGTAGTCATCGATGTAGGGCGTCTCCGTGTTCAGCTGCAGCAATTGAATCCCTATCAGCCACTGCTTGTTTCGTTGACTCATTAAATTTGCATATTCATCGTATTCCTCCAAATTCTGCAATTGATAGATAAAATAAACATTCAGAATTGAGCGCGCCAATATAATTCAACAGCAAACCCCATCGAGAAACTCTTATTCCAATTTATAACTTCAGTCCTTATCCTTAACGAGAAAGCGTGTGTCTTTCAATATTCTCAGTTACCAATCAAAGGGGGAGATAATACGGCGAAACTTTTTAAACCACTTCCAGAACTTTGACAGTGCTTAAAACATGCGTTTTTCTTATTTTGCAAGTGCAAATGCAATTTTTTTCAATTGTTTTAAGTATCATAACCTCAAATTTAGGAATCTTGGTCTTAAAAAAACACAAATTTGTACTCATTTAACTTTGAAAACTTACAGAGAAACAGTATTTTAGAAATATTTGAAGTTTCCAGTGAATATTTTGATGAGATTCAATTTGTAATTGCTCTTTTTGATGCAATTTGGAACATAACCTAAAAATTACCTTCACTTACACTAGGCAACAAAAATGACACTTTTTTCTGCCCTTTTTTTGAAGTGTGGATTTTCTGATTCCTTGAGTCATCAGCTTTTCAACGGTACCTTCCTTTTTTCCCTAGACCCTCAAGTTTTCCTTTTAGAGCCTATTTTCCATTTTCCACTATTTTCACCCACTTTGCCGCACTTATGTGCTCATATCTCGCTCAATTTTCCACGGATTTTCCTCAAATTAGGCTCAAACGATAGCTATTGAAATTACCTACTACTTTGTAAAACATTGTGAGTGTTTTAGATCACTCCTTGTTGGTCAAAAATGATCTTTTGTGAACCACTAGGTAAAAAATTCGCCGGTTTTTTTACCACTTTTTTCTAAATATCTCCGAAACGAAGAAACTTTTATGTTGGATTATTTTTCCTATGTGTAGAGCACTTCAGGGGATGCATTTCCCCCATACATGCAATTATTGAAAAGAAACCTATTCGGAACGTTTTAGAACGCTATTTTAGAGTAGAAAATCTATCAAATAGCTCTTAAAACAGACAATTTTGTATCCTGAAGCAATATTTTTTGAGGTTATGTTCAATTTTAGTGTATTTAACACAGTTTAAAAATTGATAGATTGTAATGTTCATTAGATTTCAATATAATTGTGCCAGAAAATGTAAATTATACCATTTTGGACGCAAGAATGAATGATTTTGAAGGTTATTTAGTGTCAAAGATTGTCTCAAATTTTTTAGAAAACCATTTTTTACTTAAAATATTGCATTAATTTCTTTTGAAAGACACTTTAAAACGCATCAGATTGATGATATTGGAAGACTTCCACTTCAAAATACTTCCATTGACCTTCTATACCATCTTCTGACCTCAATATCTCCCCCTTGATTGAAATTCACCCTTTCATCGGGCCTTCAATCACTTGTGCAAACGATAGAGTCTATCAAAATCCAATCCCCGGAGACAGAGAGAGAGCGCGATTTCACTCACCAAATTTCCATCTCTATGATGCTGCTGTTGCTGCTTGAAGCGATGCTGCTGCTGCTGCTGTTGGTGGTTCTGATTGTTATTCTTGCCGCCATTCATTTGGTTTTGGTGATAAGAATTGTTTCCCGCGTCGAAGTTGTTGATGCGATTGAAGTACAACATGGGATGATTCTGCTGTATTTCCTGCACTAATCTCTTGTTGTATTGATTCACACTGACGGGATTGTTCTGCATTGGCGGCGCGGGCGGCGGTGGCGTGGGAAACGGTGGTCCATTCATGAGTGGATTCATTCTGCCCGGCTGCTGCATCGGTCGAACGCCACCAAAGTTCGAGTGCATCTGCGTGAGAAAGAGTCATTCTGTGAATTCTCTTCCCAACCACTTTTGCTCACAGCAAATGTGAGCACAAAATCATGCCAAATCACTGTTTGTGTGTGTTGATGTTTATAAAACATTCACTCCTTCAGTGCACTCACGAGGAGAGCCGCCAGAAATAAGCTGCAGAGTGTTTTTTATTCATAAAACAACAACTCAGAGAAACACCAGAGCTGCAATTTTATCATAAAGACGTTATTTTGCAAGGAAAAAAAGACCTCTTGAGAGCAAAAGAATACAGTTTAAAAGAAGAGGTAAATCTATTGTTGATCTTCAATCAAAAGCCCTGCAAATAATGCCACTTGATAAGCCATATCATAACAATAAACGTGTACTTTAGCTCTTGTGCACTGTTATCATCGCAGTTATTATTGGCGATATTGGTCATTATCTCTGCGATTATGAATCTCTCTGGGGCACAATTTCATTCACATTGGAGGAAAATCTCTTAAATCACATCTTCCTTTGTGTTTCTCGCGGCAATTGCCGCCCAATCAGCACGACGTTATCACACAGTGACGACAAAACAGTCTCCTTTTGGGCATTGATACTCACGGCGAGGTTGTTGTAGGCCATCTGGGGCATGTTGGCGGGCGGCATGGGGCGCGGCATCGGCGGGGCGCCCATGGAAGTCATCAGGTGCATGAGGGGAAAGTCCGCGGGCGGCCGGAAGGGCGGCTGCTTGGCCATGGGCATGTTGAACAGCGGCATCTGCGGGGACGGAAGGATGCCCGGCGGCGGCATGATGGGCCGACAGTTGAGGGGCGGCGGCTGGCTCGGCGGCTCCGTGGCGTAGTGCAGCGGCGCCCCGAGGGCCTCAGTGGGTGGGCCGCCGCGCGGCGGGGGCGGCGGCGGCACCTGGCGGATGTTGCGCTCGATGTCCTCGACGGTGAACATCTTCGGGAGGGGCGATGGCGAGGCGTTGCCGGGTGGCTTAGGCGCTTTCGATGTGTCCTTGGACAAGGCATTGAACTCATTGCGACGCATCGGATCCATCGGCGACGACCACACGCTCGAGTCCAGCGCCAAGGGCAGATCTGACTCGTCCAGAAACTCGCCCAGACAGGTGTTGAGGTTGATTTGCGAAATGTCTGGCATGCGCATCTTCTGGAGCCCCCCGAGCGGCGGATAGTCGTCGAAGGGGGCGCCGTATTTGCTCCTGGAGGAGCCCTCGGCCCGCGCGGGAGTCTTCTGGAATGCATCGTCGCCTCGCTTCAGCTCGTCCTCCAGCTTCACCAGGTTCTCGTGCATTCCCTCCCAGTCGCCATTGATTGCCGCCCCGAAGGTCTCATCGTTTAAGGCATCGTACTCCAGCTCATCGTCATCCAGGCCGCCAATATCGTCGTCCGGCTGCGGAGAGAGAAAGAACACCCAAACTCTCAGTCACCACAGCACACCCGCAAAAAAGCCCCATTTCCCACCGCCCACGCCACCCAAACCACCCTCAGACGGTCCCCAGTCGCCCACAAGGCCTCCTCCGGGCGTTTATATAACAGCCAGTGGGTTAAATAAACGCAGAAAACGTGGAAATTCCAGAGAGCTGTGACCTTTCCGCTGTCACACTCCCCGAGCAGATGCACTTTTCCACCCATTTCACTGTCCCCAGGCGCCCCAATGCGCCCCCACCGCACGCCCAGCGCCCCACTCACCGGCAGTGTGGTGTCGAATCCGAAAAATGAGTCTGCCATCAGTAGAAAAACTTAATTTCTATTGTAATTTCACTAAATGTCATAATAAATTACTTTTTGACTTTTATCGCCATCTTTCTCGAGAGGGAAATTTCACGCGCGTGTGTGTGTGTGTGTGTGTGTGTGTGTGTGCCAAAAATCCCAATTGGGAAATTTCTCACCGTGCGCGCGAATCGCGAAATTCCCGATTCACACGAAGCCGCCGCCAATCGGAAGGAATCGGCTGCGGCCGAAAGTGTGGGGAAAACAACAATAAAAATTCATAACCTCACTGAGAGCGATTGCGGATGCTGATTAGGTTTTCCAGCTTATCGCCGCAATTCGCGATAATCCACCGGCGAGAGCGAGTGTAATCATTCCACACCCAAGTGCTTAATATCTACATTGTGCCTTAATAGTGAAATTACGTGCTTAAAAATGACTTCAGCGGAGAAGGAAACTTATCTTGGATTTGACCTCAGCACACAAAAAGTAAAGCATATTTTCCTCCTGACCTTTTTCAACCTCTTCGCGCGTCTGATAAGATGTTTTGCTATTTTCGCTAAATTCTCCTCTTCTCTCTCACCTGCATGCAAAGGTGGTGGCGAAATCTTGGGCGTTGGACGGCAAATGCGAGTAAAAAGACATTGATTCGTGTGGGAGTGTCGAGTTTGCGGGTTTCGCACGCATTTTTATGTCTTATTTGGATCTTACTTGATTGCTTTGCCTTTTTCTTTGCGAACGGAGAACATGCAAAATTGGAACACGAACTCCTTGGAGAGTTAATAATTTGCAGATAAGTGGCAATTGAAGGGAAATAAAGTCATTAACAAGAAAACCTCGATGTTAAAGACAAAGCAAGACTTCATTCGCAGAGTGCTCGATCTTTTATAATTCTCTTCTCAATTTAGAACTGTTCTTTTTCATGGAAAACTAAACAGAGTTCAAATTGCATTCATAAATGTATTGTGAAACCGTTGAAATTGTGTCTAGATTGAAAATCAGACTCTCAATCTAGTGAAAGTTCAATGAATTTAATAAGAAATTCCAAGAGAATTCCATTAAGCGGATTAAACAGACTCATTAGCAAAGCTCTGAAGTATTTTCTACGCATATTCAAGACTCGGCAGGAATTAATGAGTTGCGTGTTCAATGAATTTTTGGTTTACACTCTTTCACTTGTGATCCACTAAAACGTCTTCACCTGTGAGACGATCTCTTCGCACGTGCAAAGACACTTTGCATTTGTGTGATTTTGAGCGGCTTTATCTCTGTTATCTCGCACTAGATCGTCTCGATCGCATGCTTCTCTGTCCTCGTTAACCTTCCCGCGTGTTGACGCAGTCGATCGGCTGTTTATAACTATTGATTCTTCGCTCAATTCCTTCCCTCTTCACACACACTTTGCGTTGCAGCTCAAGGCGGTGCAGTTATCTAACAGTCTGGAAGTGCTGGCTCAGGCCGAGGTCAAGTTCGACAGCGATTTGCAGGGCTTCCGGACATTTGGGGGCGTCAATGCGGGCAGCAAGAAGCAGGAGTGAGTGTCCTGAAGAGGGGCTCTTCCGATTTGATTCGTTTCATAGTCTTTCAAGGAAGGTTTGCTCCAGATTTGAAGATCTTAGAAAGCCGGAAAATATGCTCAAAATAAAAGACTTGAGAATTCTGTGCGTAAGTTAGAGAAATTGTGAAAAATGAGAGAGAAAAAATATATTTAAAAGGTCAAAAATTCTCTTCGGCAGAAGATTTATGTCTGAAGAGTATTAAAAGGATATTTTGAACCAGTTTGGAAATCATTTATAGAGGCTAAATCTGTGTAGAATACTAAAATTAGGAGAATATTAAACAATTAAAGGACATTTTGTATGGTTTTTCGACTCGATTCTCGTATTTTTACACTTTTTATCGTAAAACCTTGCGTAAAACCGTAAATTTCCGATTATAGATTAAGTATTTGAGCAATGCAGTCTATTTTAATTTAATTGTTGAGATAACAAGATAAAATATTGTTAATTTTTCAAGAAAATCTGCAAAATCGCCTCTTAGAAACGAATCAAATGGGAATTACACGAAGCAATCCCTAGTTTTGGGACCATTTGCTGACTGACTGGGCTTTTCAGGTTCTTCGTGCAGCCGGTGATGTGGGTGAAGGCGCTGGACATGGTGCTGGATCGTCTGGTGGTGCAGGGAGCGGATCTCAGCACTGTGGTGGCTCTCAGTGGAGCTGCTCAGCAGCACGGATCCATTTACTGGTCGCGCCATGGCGTCCAGATCCTCGGGAATCTCGATCCGGACAAATTCCTGCACATGCAGATCGACGATTCCGCCTTCACGCTCACGCGCACGCCCATCTGGATGGACGGCACGACGTCGAAGCAGTGCCACGAGATGGAAGAGGCCATTGGGGGGCGCGAGCAGATGGTGCAGCTGACGGGCTCGAAGTGCTACGAGCGATTCACGGGCCCGCAAATCCGGAAGATCTATCAGCAGAGGCCGGATGTGTTTGAGCACACGGAGAGAATTTCGCTGGTCAGCAGCTTCCTGGCGTCCATCTTCTTGGGCGCTGTGGCGCCCATTGACTTGTCCGATGGCTCTGGCATGAATCTGCTGGACATTGAGAAGAAGACGTGGTCGTCGGAGTGTCTGAACTCGTGTGCTCCGGATTTGGACATGAGATTGGGCGATCTTGTGTCCAGCATTGCGGTTTTGGGTGAGATTTCCTCGTTCTTCGTGCAGCGATTCAACTTCTCGGCCAATTGCAAGGTTGTGGCTTTCACGGGTGACAATCCTTCGGCCTTGACGGGGATGATTCTGGACAGGGATTGGCTGGTATTGTCCCTGGGCACGAGTGATACGGTCATGATGACACTGCAAGAGCCGCCAAAGTTCGAAGAAGGACACGTTTTCATCCATCCCACGGACACAAGGAGCTACATGGGAATGCTTTGGTGAGTGCAAAGAGATCCTCGACAGTGTGGTTGTGGATTAACCTTGTGTGTTCTTCAGTTTCAGGAATGGTTCACTCGTGAGGGATAAATTTAAGCACGCCGAAGGCAATAATAGCTGGGATTACTTCAGTGAATTGCTGGAATCGATGCCGCGTGGGAATTTCGGGAACATGGCGCTGCATTTTGTCAATCAGGAGATCATTCCCAATGTCAAGGGCACTCTGCGCTGGAATAAGGATTCGTCCTCGAGTAATCCCGAGGCTGCCAAGGGTATTGCCAAATTCTCGTCGCCACAAACGGAAATCCGGGCACTTATTGAGGGTCAGATGTTGCACAGAAGAGCCATTGCCAGCGACATGGGCTTCCTGTTTGGCGAGAACACGCGGATTCTGGCCACTGGCGGAGCGTCAGCCAACAAAGCCATCCTCCAAGTGATGGCAGATGTGTTCAATGCGCCAGTTTATGTCCAGGCGGCCACCGAAGCGGCTCTCCTGGGAGCGGCTTATCGTGCCAAATATGCCATGTACCTGGCCAGCGAGGAGACCAAGAGACTCGATCCGGACGACATTGAGAGCTACTCTGAGTACTTCAATCGTCTCCTGCCGCATCACGCTCAGTGTGTTTGTGAGCCGAGTCGCGACAGTTACGAGATTTACACGAAAATGCAGACTCGATGGCGCGAAATGATCACTGTTCTGATGACACAACAGCAGGATTAGGATTCCATTCCGGCTTCGATGTTCGCACACTAAAAAAAAAAACAGCTTTAAAATGCTTTCGCATTTAATGGCAAAAACCACGGGATATTTTTTGTGTAAATGAAGAGAGAGATATTCTTGTTTTATACTCAAGACTAAATTTTCGTTTCTATTTGAACGCATTTTAACAATGCTTGTTGTACAATAAAATCTATTTATTAATTGTATTTCACGTTACATCAATCCCTGAGCCGTTTGGATGGCAATCTCTTGATCCTGGGCATTCATTAGGGCATAGTGACTGTATTCCATGAACAGCGTCGCCCGGCCGGATGTGAGAATCCTCAAGGAGCTTGAGTAATTGGATAATTCCGCGAGAGGTGCGTGAACGCGGAGTTGCTTGCTAGATTCACCCTTCGGCGTCATATCCACAATCGTAGCTCTTCTCCTTGTCAGATCAGGAAGGACAACAGGCATGAGATTTGCCGGTGCGACAATTTCCAGGGACATTATTGGCTCCAGAAGACGACAACCAGCATTCCTGAGGATCTGCAAAGCAAAGAATCGTTGAAGATTTGAGCAAAAATGCCACAATTGAGACTCACTTTCTGAACACATTGAGCCGCTGTTGCGATCACGAAGGAATCAACAGCTCCTGAGCCAATGCTGATGTCGTGAAGGACAGCATAAGTGTCAACAACCACGCCGCCGAGCTTTGGTCCTCTCTCTAATCCCGTCAAGACGCCTTTCTTCAGCAGATTCAAGTGTCTCGGGCGCAGAGAAGTCAATCCTTCGCCAGCATCCTTTGTTGTGTCCAAGATGAACTTCTCCTTCTGTCCTTGTCGCAAGGAGAGCTCAATGGAGACCTTCTGCTTGCTTCCGGCGATGTCCTTCTCAACCAGAAGCGTTTCTCTCGCTTCCGCCACGTCCAGAGTTTCTTTGTATGCAATCTGAAGAGGTCCCAAAATCACGTCCACTTTGTATTCCGTGAGAATTCTCGACTTGACAATGTCCAGGTGGAGTTCACCCATTCCGCCAAGGACAGTCTGGAGAGTTGTCTCGTCGTAGCGAATTCTTAGACTGGGATCTTCTCGCTGAAGCTGCATCAGAGCCAAGTCCAGATTCTTCTGCTGCGACAATGAAGGCGGTTCGACAGAACAGAAGTAAACAGCGTCTGGTATTTTCGTCTCAACAGAGAACACACTTCCTGTCCTCTCTTCCTCCTCAACAGGAGAATCCTCATCACTCTCAGGAAGGGCTTTTGGGAACTTCTTCTGAAGCCTCTTGAGAATCGCGCCACTTCCGACCAGAAGATCTCCAGTCATTGTTGTCTGTGAAATTCAATGCAAATCAACACTAATCCTTGTTAATCAACCAGGAACTCACCTTCAATCCCGCACAGATTCCAATATCGCCCGTGGAAACCTCATCAATCTCTCTGTACTCATTAGCCAGAGGTTCGTAGATTCTCTGAGCGGCTTCGGCACCTCCTCTTCCCGTTGTCACCTTTCCATTTCTCTTTAGACTGCCAGACAGGACGCGGAAGAGTGTCAAAGGACCTCTCTGCTTATCGTGCATGATTTTGAAGACTCTCGCAATGAAATCTCCCTCAAACGACGCGAGTTCTTTGTATCTGTCGCCAGGATTGGGGAAATAATTGACAATTCCGTCCAGGAGACTCTGAATCCCTGTATTCTTGTACGCTGATCCGAGGAGAACAGGAACGACTTTGCACTGAATTGTGGCTCTCTGAATGGCTTTCTGCACAGTGTCTATGTCAATGTCTGTGAGTGAATCCTTGGAGATGACAATATCCGCGAGTTCATCATCAACTCCCGACAGTTGATCGATTATTTCACACCTTTTCGCGTCACACTCCGCCTTCAGATCTTCAGGAATTGGAGAGATCTTGTAGTTTGAGCCTTCAGACTTCACATCCCACGTGAGAAGCTTCCTCTTCACCACATCCACAATTCCTGCTAATTGCTTCTTCCCTCTGATTGGGATTTGCAGAGGCAGTGGCAGGACTCTCAAGTGTCTCCTCATGTCCTCCAGACAACCCTCAAAGTCCGCATCCTCTCTGTCCATCTTGTTCACGAACACAATCCTGGGCAAACTGTAGCGATCCGCTTGTGACCAGACAGTCAATGTCTGCGCTTCAACACCTGCCGAAGCGTCCAGGATCACAACAGCGGCATCCACAGCGCCCAAGCTCAACTCCACCTCCATTGTGAAGTCAATGTGTCCGGGAGTGTCTATCAGATTGATCTTGGCAGTGTCCCAGGGAAAGGTAACGGCAGCACTGCAAATCGTGATGCCACGCTCGCGCTCCTGATCCAGAAAATCCGTCACAGTGTTGCCATGATGCACTTCACCGAGGGATCGTGTCTTTCCCGAGTAGAAGAGCATCCTCTCCGTGGTTGTGGTCTTTCCGGCATCAATATGAGCCAGAATTCCGATGTTTCTCGTGCACGACATGCCACGAACATGGAGTCGAATTAAGGGTTTCAATTTACACAGGATTCTCGATGAAAGACTCAAAGACATCTTTGCAATTTATCGAAATATCACTCTAGATTAAATACACTGCAAGAACACAATGTTTTACTGGTGATAAGTATCTTATTTTCATGGATTTTCAAGGAAGAATATTTGCTTGTGAGACTCCATGATTTCGTCCAGAATCAAAACATTGCGACATAACCTCATTTTCGTTCAACGGTTGAGACGAAATTTCCCAACCGATTCACGAACGCGGCCGAAGTTGCGGCCGGAGCCGCGCCGTGCTGTCAGAAGCCATCCAAAATATGGTTATTGATCGCATTTAAGGTGAAAATTTTCTCACATTTACGCCCCAATTTCACCCAATTGAGGCACCCGAATGTAGTGCAGCACTCGTGAAGCATTGTAAGATTGCAGTGATTGCGTTATCCTCGTCGTGGAGTCATGAATAATTGCCTTTTCAGATGACCGTGAATTCCGACTCTAATGACAAGGGGGCTTCCGCCTCCCGGGCGAGATGCTTCTTCGACATCTCAATTGGCGGCCTTCCGGCGGGCAGAGTGGTGTTTGAGCTGTACATGGATGTGACTCCCAAGACGGCGGAGAACTTCCGGGCCCTGTGCACGGGTGAAAAGGGACTGGGAAAGTCCACCGGAAAGCCTCTGCACTACAGCGGAGTAATTTTCCATCGCGTGGTGAAGGACTTTATGATACAAGCCGGAGATTTTTCCAACAAGAACGGCACAGGCGGTGAATCCATCTACGGTGGAACCTTCGAGGGTAAGCTGATGGTGTGTCAGGATTGTCAGGATGCTGAATTGTGTGATTTTTGCAGATGAAAACTTCAACTTGAAGCACGACAAGCCATTCCTTCTCTCCATGGCAAATCGAGGAAAGAACACAAACGGCTCGCAGTTTTTCATGTAGGCCCTCAACCTCTCTCTCTCTCTCTGTCTATCCATAGTGAAACATGTCTGGAGAAGAATGTCCGCAAAATCTCACACTCTTTGTTATTTATTTTTAGCACCACTCAGCCTGCGCCTCATCTGGACAAGTAAGACCCCAAAAACCACCTGCAAATCCATGCGGAATTGACTAATTATCTCGCTATTCTCTTGCAGTGTTCACGTGGTGTTCGGGCATGTTGTCTCCGGACAGGATTTGGTCACACAGCTGGAACAATTGCCCGTGGACAGGAACTCAAGGCCTCTTCAGGATGCCACAATCACAAATTGTGGTGAACTTGTGCGCCAGATTAAAGGTAAAAGTGAGAGAAAGAAGGGAAAAATACCAGAACATATGGGAAAAAATGCGCATGAGAGGAATTTTTTTGGTGCGTTTCATGCAAAAATCCAGTAGCAAAGACTTAAAGTCCAATTCATTCGATACAGAGTTCTTGCATTCAACATTCCAGCTTTCTATCGCATCAGCGCAACATTTACCTATTCCGCATTTTCAATTTATTATATGCAAATTATGGTTAATTGGCATTTCTGATCTACTTTCTAGCCAAGAAAGTCAAGAAGAAGAAAGTCGTCTCGTCGGAATCTGAGGAGGAATCCGACAGCGATGAGTCAACGGTGAAGAGTAAGAAGAAAAAGAAGAAGGACAAGAAGGAGAGGTAAAATGTCTAATCAGAAAATGTGTCTAAAGAAACTGAGTGTTGATGATTTGTTGTCCTTTGCAGGAAAGATGATTCTGTGGAGGAAGGAGAGCTGGAAGAGAGCGAACAATCGCTCTTTCCACTGACTAAAATTGATCCAAAGGAGATTCCTGATGTGTCCAATAAGTTCCTCATGCGAGAAGTGGCGGCAAAGGAGAAAGATGACGGTGACAAGAGTGAGGATGACGATGATGATGAGGATGATGATAAGGACAGAAAGCGCAGGAATGAGCGTGGGCAGAGGAAGTGAGTCTGAGTTTAAAGAGAATCCTTTTTTCAACAGAGATTTTAATTGATTTCTTTCCTCTGTATTTTGCAGCTTTGGCTGGTCAAAGAAGCGCGTTCCTCTGTCGCGCAGTGGACGCGCTATCAAGGGCAGAGGCGTTTTTCGCTACAGAACGCCATCGCGCTCTCGCAGTCGCTCGAGGAGTGTGACGCCGCCGCATTGGAAGCAGGCGCAGAAGCGAACGATTAAGCTGTCGGACTTTGAGAAGATCGAGGAGGAGAAGAAGCAGCGCGAGATGGAGATCAAGAGGCGCGAGGTGGAGCGCAAGAAGCGCCACGAGGAGATCGCCAGGGATGCGAAGAAGAGCTTCTATGAGCTGCAGCAGGTGAGCAGCTATGGCGGGAAGGGGAAGAACAGTGAGAAGAACAACAGTGGCTCCATCATTCCCGGTGACGATCCCAAGGCCGGCATGATGGATCTCAATGCGCTGGACTATGAGCATCATGGCAGTGATGTTGAGGATCAGCAGGAGGCGCACAAGTCCTCGACCAAGTCCGATGTGATGGCGTTGGCGCTGGGCGTGGAGGTGAAGGCGGGCGAGGGGCAGAAGAAGGCGCCTGTGAAGGTGGCTGAGACAGCCAAGGGCAGCAAGTACGATCGCTCGCCGGACAGGAAGCGTCGTCGCTCGCGATCGCGTGAGCATCGACGCTCGCGGTCGCCCAAGCGCGGTGGCGGCGGCGGCGGCCACAAGGAGTCGTCGCGGAAGAGTCATCGGGAGTCCTCGCGGCGGCACGGACACAGCAGCCGCCGGCGGGACTCCAGCGATCGCTCACGATCGCGCGAGCGACGCAGACGCTCGCGATCTTCCTCGTCGAGGCGGCATCGCGGCCACCGCAGCCGCTCGCCGCGCGACAGCAAGGAAAAGAAGCACGCGGAGGAGAAGCCGAAGGTGCTGTCGAGTGAGGAGAAGGCGAAGCTGCACAAGGAGAAGATGCTGAAGCGTGCCGAGGCGCTGCTGCTGCTGAAGGATCACATGAAGAAGGAGATTGAGGAGCAGGAGAAGCGCCAGGCGGAGCGCGAGCGCGAGCGCCTGCGGCAGCTGGAGGAGACTGACGATCTGGCGCGTCTGGAGAAGATAAAGCAGGAGACGCTGCAGAAGCTCCAGGCGCACGATGATGAGCAGCTGAAGAAGGTGATTGACGGCGTGGTGTCCAGTGTGAAGTCCTCCAAGGGGCGCAAATCCCGCAGTCCGCCGAGTGACAGGAAGCGTCACAGGAAGCACGCGAAGACACAGAGGAAATCTCAGAGGATGAGGTCAGCTTCCACTTCGTCGGCCGACTCGAAGAACTCCTTCAAACTCTAAGAAAAAGTCGCAGAGGAGCGTGGAAATTTCATTTCTTCAGTAGTTTTTCTTTCATTTTTCAGTACTGAGCCTCAATTTTCATTAGAATTTGCGCAAATCATTTACTTTTAGGTTTCCCTCTAGAAATTGTTTGAATTTAAGTCCACATTTGGAGAATATTTGTTTGGACACAATCGTTGTTAAATGCGCATTGTTGAAAGAATATGGATTCTAAATTAAATGCTAGAATCCAAAACTCACTGTCCAAAGATATTTGGAGTGGAATTTCATATTTTACATATTCTTTGCCCACAGAACAAGTGTTTGAAAATTATGGAAATGATCATAATAAAGTGTAATAAAACAGAAATCTCATTTTTCAGCTGCAGAATTGGAGTAAATTCTTCTTTTTGAAATGTAAAAAAAGCGCGGAAAATCTCCTTGATCACCACTAGCGCCACGGTTTCTTCGGGAAACACGAAATACCTGCAGAAATCTCTTGGAATCCCCGCAATTTGTGCGATATTTTGGAGCAAAATTAATTCATAATTGCAAGAATTGGTGGAATTCAAGCAATTTGAGGATTTCCTATAACTCTCCTCGCCGCAAAGAATCAAATTACTTATGAAATGAATTGAGAGAGAAATCTGGCGGGTGAAAAGTGTGTGGTGTTTTTGCGAGGCGCAGATCCCGCTATGCCTGCAGATTCCGCGGCGGTGGTGTGCATAGTGATTCCGGGAGTGTGTGTGTTCAGTTCTCCGGAAGAAGCTGAAGAGTTGCGTTGCTGAAAATCGCATTTTCCCCGAGTGACGGCCTCAGAAGTTGTCGCTGATCCGCTCACGCAATCCCACTGCGCCTCTCGACCGGTCATTCGCGTGCATTTGGGGGCGCTGTCAGGACGTGGCGGTGATCCTTGAGTGGTGTGTGTTCGGTGGCGTTTCGTGGCCACCAGAGAGTGTCCTTTGTTGAGCGGAGCGAAAACAGAAACGCAGTGGCAGCAAACATGGTGATTCTGCTGGAAGTGCCCGCGCTGTGTGCACTCTTTGGCGGTCTGTTGCATGATTTTGTGCCCCAGCGGGGCACTGTCGGCGGTGTGATTTGGCGGTGAAGGGGCCCCGTGGGCGCCGAGCGGTGGAAAAACGTTCAATATCGATGAGGAAAAGCTCATTCGATACACATTTCTATGGTTTTGTGACTGTGTGTGCGTGTGTGTTGATGAAAATATTTTGCGGTGTTTCTCGAGGCGGCCACATGCCGTCGTCTCTCTCTCGCCCGTGGGCGGCCAATTGACGGTGGGCCACTGTTTGGCGTGCGCGAGTGAGAAGGAGCAGCAATAAAAGCAAGAAACTTCTTCCCAAAACACACACACGCGCGCCGCTGGCTGAGGCGAGTTGAATGAAGAAACTCGCAGTGTGACGATTCCACAACCCCGCAGAAGAGCGCGCACGAGAACACAAAAAAAAAAATCAGGCACAGGAGAGCCACCAGAAACTATTTCCGTGTGATTTTCTCTGTTCCAGGGCACAAAACATCTCCTTCGCCCCGGCGAGCCAACTCTCCACGCCGCGGAAGACTTCCCTGGCCGAGGCGCACACACGCTGAAATTCCCCAGTGCAGTGATAAGTGACTTGTGTGAGCCGTGAAAATAAATGAAAGTGCATCGATTGGGCATTGTTGGACGCTTTTGTGGCAAGAAGCGCATTAAATTGATGGATAGAGCACCAAATGACTAGAAATTCATCTTATATGGCGCTCTCATTCATTCGCCTCTTTGCTGTGTTTACATTTGGATTATTCCTCGCCAATGGATCACTATCAGGTGGGTTTCTTCGCTCTTCTCCCCCCACTTTTTTCTCCCCCCCTTGCACTGCTATATTTGTACCTTTTCTCGCGCCTACGCAACCCAAGAGTGCGAAGAGTTCCCCCGCCGTGTCGACACTCCTCTCTCTTTCCGCCGCGCTCCGCGAAGAAAACCATGGGAAACACACCAGAGTCGCGAAAATCCGAAGGGCTTCCCACGGTTGCCAACTGCCGATTTTTTTCTTCTTCTTTTGCTTTTTGAGAGGGAAAATTTAGCGGAAAAATCGAGGTCAAGTTGTGGGCTACTTCGATGCACAATTTGCAATTGAAAGCCAGTCGCAGTGCAGAGCACTTTTGTGGCTATCAAAAGCATTTTAATGGGGTTTTCTGTGCAGCACACTTCCTCTCGGCCACTGTGGTTTTGCCACACATTCGAGGGTTCGGCGTTGTCCTCATCGAGCAGTATTATATATGCTGAATTTATGGTCTTGAATTCCACATCGAGAGTCTCTAAAGCACACAGAGACGAAGTTAGATTTGCAGGTAGAGAAATGTTGTCCAGATAGAATTCGTAGAAGCACAAGTTATTTTTTCGGTCTATATTTCACGCCATTTTCAAGAAAAAAGCAGGAAAAATTTGATTTGGATGACCAAGAAAATATGCTTTGTTAAAATGTCGTTACAACATTACGGATTTCGTATTTCAGTTCGTAAAAGCTATCAATTTGGTGTTGCAACTTTACGTTTTGCTTGTGTGAAGTACGAACGAAATGCGAACGAAAAGGCGTTGCAAGGCAAAGTTGGGAGTATATTTAATATAATTTTCAGCTGTCAAACGCGAAGAATGAATTCAACAAGGCAAAATAGTGAATCGCATTGACAAGACATCTTCATTCGTGACTGTCGCTGGCATTGGATGTGCTTCAGATCGGATTCTTTAAGGATTTTGCTGTCCAGCATGTCCGGGAAGACACATAACCTCAATGTTGTGCATTGAAATGTGCACAAATTGTCAAAAAATCCAATAAATATATGTTTATCCACATAAAAACATCATTATTGTATACTCCCTTGGTTTTCACGTGAATTTTCCAGCTTTTCTTGTCTTCACGCGATGAAATAGTGTCGCAGTAAATAAATTCCGCAATTTCGTAAAAGATATGAATTGTAATGTTGCAACACCTTTTCACAAATTCATATTTCTGACAGCTTATTTAAAATGTAATGAAAGTAAACTTGCAAAGACACCTGAAAATATCAAAATTTAAACAAATCGTTAAATGCTTTAGAATGCAATGATCGTATTTCGTTTTTAAGTCAATGAAAATCTTCATTAAATTTATCTAAAATCCACGAAATCCTTTGTTGTTTATCATTAAACGTTGCGAAGGACACAATAAAAGCCAAAAAAAATTCAATACGTTGAAATATTCTGGCCGATGATTAGATTGCTTGTGAGATCGGGAAAAATCTTTACGGTGTATTTAAACGAAGAAAATCGTGTGACTAAAGTAAGCAAGAGAGCAAAAATAAAAGTGATGAAACTCCTTCTTCTAATTGTTATCACAAAAATCCGGCATCTTCACGGCAGCAAATGCCTAAATAAATAGTAAGAGAAATAGATTTATTGCACGTGATCAATCTTGTGGAATGGAATTAGAACATCTGTGTTGAGCTCTTCTCTTGGCTGGAGAGTTTGCCCTAGATAGTCTAATTGGGGTTCCTTTAGCGGTGCAAACACACCGGCGATAAATTGTACAAAAGCTTTTTTTTTACACCCACCAATAAGATCTCTTCAGTGATGGTCACGAACTTGACTTGAGAGTCAAGTTTAAATTTTTTTTTCATTTTATAGTAGAGGAATTACGCTTGCGATGGAGTGAGTGAGAGAGAGAGCGAATGACTTAGATTTTACCTTGAACTTTCTAATGCAAAGTCATAAAATACAGCTAAAATACACAACGTAGTTCTTATCTAATCAAGCACAGAGAAAAATATTCCCGACTAATACAATTTTGAGTGTGGAAGGCGTTGCGCTGTCACGATCTTGTTGTCTCTCTTTAATGCTGTCTCTCAGAATGTAAAACAACAATTAAATGATACGTTTTCTCATAGAGGAGAGCAAAATGAGGTGGTTCAATAGATGAGTGGCAATAAATTGCACAATGTTTCATGTGCAAATTGTTGCTATATAATGTGGAAAAATTTGTATATGGCCAATAAAATGGCCAATTTAATTGCAGGTTTTTGAATAAATTTCCCTTAAGTTATGAATGTGGTGTCATTTTGCTGTACATATAATTTTCCTAAGACGTTTGTATTTTCACATTTGTAATGCAGAATCTCAATATATATATATTTAGTGTGGCTGTTGTGTGAAAAATCAGTGAAACTTATGTAAATAACCACAGTTGTTTGTGTGTTTTAAAGTTCAACAAATTTACACTGGGTTGTTATACAATTATTTGACTTAATTTATTGGATCTTTATACATTTGATAATTTTGCCAGGCACTGACACAGTACAAGAACCTCTCCCGGATTAATCACACTCTGCATTTTCCCTCGCTCACGAGATTGTCATCTGCAGCAAGTGTGATCACTGGATTAATTTACTGTATAAACTGAAGAGATTCACGGGAAATTCATCGTGTGAGAGATATTCTTTGAGGTTATGCACATTGACAGCAAACTTTAGTTGGGGAAAAAGCTCTGTGTGATAAGATTGTTTGTTCCCAAGTGAAAGTATTTATTCACACTTGCGTATGACGTAAGATCACGCCTTTGCTTCGACATGAGAAACTATATTTTGATCTCCTGGAAGTGCTTAAAGATGAAAATGGTGTATCAATTTGACGACCAGTTTAATCAATTGAACATGATTTTTATCACACAAGTCTACACAGTCTCGTATTGAGTCACTTGATGATTTGTGTGTCTAGTGCGTCTAGACTAGAAGAAAGAGAGAGAGTGAGATGGCTTGGGTGAGAAAAAAAAGTTATGCGAATCTGAAATAACTGATAAGACAGCAAACAAACAGTGCGAAATATGTGCTTGAGAATCGGACAAGCTTAATGAGAAATTAGGATGAGAGGCTGCTTAGTGGTTTTTTCTGTCTGTCGCGCATTCTTTCTTGCGAATTGCGACCATTAAAGACGCTTTTTTTTGCATAATCTACGCACTTATCTAATTCGCAAATTGTGCGTTTCACAAAGTCACATTCAACATGAATGTGAGCTTGAGAAGTGATTTCAAGATCAGAGAAAAAATAGGAAGATTTATCAATTTTGGTATTTGAGGCAATTAAGCGCAATCTCTAAGGATTCTACGCGAGAAAGTTGGCTAGATTGAAGAATTAAGATGCATTTGTGTCTCTTCGCAAAGAGTTTATCGATAGATTTCCAATATATACTTCAATACACGATGAGAAGACAGTAATTTCGAATCAATTAATTGAAGCATTGATGATAAAATATTTCACTGCGTAAGCGGAAAGTGCAATTAAATTGATTTTTTAATTGATAAATTAATATACATTGGTATCAATTGGATTTCTTTTGCTTGTCGCATGCAACTCAAATGGGAAATAGTGTTGTGCTTGAGTGTGTGTGTGTGAAGGAGAAGCCAGTGGAGATGAGTGTCTAAGAAAGAGAGATTGAATGAGATGTGGAAAAAAAGCGGTGTATTTCTTGAGGATGAAGAGACTTCTCTTTTTTCACACTGCTAAATCCTTATGCTGTGGATTTTATTTGGTGGATGGGAATTGGGAGAGGCAGAGCATAGGAGGAAAACACTTGGCGATGGATCAAGAAAACAGAGAGTGAGAGAGAGCGGAGAACGTGGCAGAAGAGAGTGTTGGCCAAGAGGGTAGAGAAGAGGCCAAGGAGGATGGAAGGCGGTGATATGTGAAGAAAAAGAATAAACACCGCACACAGAAAACTACGACATGAAATCTAGAAAATGAAGTGTACAAGGAGAAGAGGAGTGTGTTGAAGAAGAAGAAAAAATATCCACAAACACAGTAAAGAAAAATACGAAAATTTGTGATATGATTGGCGATGTGTGGTTGCGGCGCTTTTTTTTCTTCCATCTGCATGTATACATATGCTGGAAGATACACACGGAAGTTGAAAATTGGTGATACAAAGAGAGAGAGAGAGAGAGAGAGAGAAGAAGAAGGTGTGCAGAGGAGAGAGAAGAACCATACCATAGATTCTTCTTTTTTTCTACCTACCAAACTATATGAGCCACGAAAAGCATCAACGAGAGAGCGGGAATAATCTCCCGAAAGTTGGGCTGATGGTTGTATATATGTAGCTATTGAGATGATGCCTAGATTCCGTGTAATTTTGTTTAGAACAAGAGAATTCTCCTCTATTCAATAGATTTCGCTCAACTCTGGATTCTTTCACATTCGCAGCTTGATATGACGCGCGCGATTTGGATGTCTCTCGAAGCGCGATGATTGTGTATTTCAGATGAATTTAATCCCCTTTTTTAGATTGTTTCTCTGGCTTTTGAAAGATCTATTTCGCGGGATAAAAAAAAATTGATCTACAGCCGCGAAAATTGGGTTTTAGAATATTTTTCGCAATACTTTCGACATGGTCATGGTGAACTGGCGAGCTAATTCTTGCGTGAGGCAGAAATTGGGTCAGTGTATAAGTAATGCATTATTTTTCATTCAAAATATTCTCTGTGGTGTTTTATCAATAATAAAAATTAAAGCGCAAAATATAGCCAAAATTTTGATGATATTTTCTTCAGTAAATCATATTGAGAAACTACAGTTCGTCCCCAGTAATTACACACTGTGAAAAATTGAAATAAATAATGTGAGAACGTTGGAAATTTCAATACAATATTTCCAGATTTATCATTTGTATAAATTATTCCACTAATTTAGAGTTAAATACAGGTTAAAGTGTTTTCCCAGTAAAACACACATTGAGGGCTATTATTAAGTGAAATAAAAATTGTTGTATTATGTGAGCGAACAGAGAAAAGGCACACGAGAGTT